GATGAGGCTAATGGTGATTACGAAGGTGTTTCGAGTGATCACTAGTGATGGTGACGTTATTCCTAACATTCATCTTCTCACAAGGCGTTAGACTCAACATGGAGACCCCTCAACAAGTGCCTTCGATGTAGAGCTGCCCTGAGTCAAGAGGGTAGCTGAAAGACTGTGTCTGGCAACAGGACTCTGTACCATGCCACACAAGCAGGTGAACCAAGTCATGGCTGTCAGAGAATTTCTGCGACTACATCATCCCTTACATCTTGATTATTTTGTGTGAGGGCACAGTTGAGCGAGAGACCAACAAAAATTCTTGTAACACCAAAGATGAACTGAAAGCAAGAATTATGGCAGCATTCACCAACTTAAACAAGGAGAATTTCCAAAGGAGTTGCAGAAGATTCCAAAGCTGTCAATGGCGATTTTATTGAATAATTTTACTCTTTTGTATTTCAAGATATTTTAGTGTAATTTTGGTAAATATATGGGATGTCAGTGTTATTTTCATTTTTGCGTAACTTCGACGACAATTTACCTATTGCCCCCCCTCTCTCTCTCTCTACATATATATATATATATATATATATCTGTTCATTATCTATCTATCTATCTATCTATCTATCTTTCTTTCTTTATGTCTGTCGATGTATCAATCTTATTATGTACACACACACACACACACACACACATATATATATATATATATATATATATAAATGTATGTATATATATATATATATATATATATATATATATATATATATATATATATATATATATATATATATATATATATCTTTTGGATTTTTAGATCTCTTCATTCCCAGGCGTGAATGACTTACTTAGTAAGACTTTTATCACAAAACGATTATTATCTCAAAAAAGAAATTCTTACTCTTTAAAAATTTTCTTGATACAAAATTCATTTAAACTTGCAAAATGAATCACTCTAAAAGAGTACAGTATCTAACAGATGGAATCCCCAATTACCAGAATCGTTTCAGTTATGCCTAGTTCCTCTCGAAAACAAAACATGATTGATTCCTTCCAAAAGTCTCAGAAGTTATAAAATCATTATATAGAATTCAATCTAACGAATAGGTTTTATTAGTACCAATCACCTTAACATATTGATTTGTTTGTTTGTTTGTTTGTTTGTTTGTTTGTTTGTTTGTTTAAAGACATCTCAAACTCCTTTTGGATCATTTAATGCCGAAATTTAATTTTCTTGGGAATTTTGAAGTAATAAATATGGTATATGTTATTCTGCTTTCACAGTTGAATACATGGTAGATGATACTCAGCATTTGTGCGTACACATGTTTGTGTGGATATAATTACTAGAGGCGGTGCTATGTGGATTTTAAGTTGTAGTTTTATTGAAGTTATAGTTTGGAATGCAGTTTGATTTCTTTAAAATATTGTAGGATATTATATGGATTAATGTCATGAAAGAGTTCTTGCATGACAGTTCTTTGATTTTGTTTAGCGGCATGTTTAATGAAAAAATCTAAATATTTTGTACGTAATTTGATGCTTTTAATTACAAATATTTTTGTACATAATTATATAATTTCAGAGTAAAGATATATATTTTTTAGATAAAGGGTTGACTTGGGAACAAAAGCAATTAAAAAAAGGTTCTACACTCTTCAAAAATTCCAAATCAGAGACCTTGCTGCCGGGTGTAGTTTAACGTCATACCCAGTACGATTGACCCACTGAAGACGACAGTATAGATGGAGTCAAATCTAAACGTGGCTGCATATTGGGAATGACATGATCGTGAAAATCGTCAACCAAATCATGACCTTCATGGTACCTTATGATGTTTGAAGGACAATTTTAGGGAGAAAAAAATGCACGCATTGTAAAACGAGAAATACGATAGATAATGACAGATAACAATGTCATTAGGTTTTAACTATTCTTTTTAAAAACGGTCTGAGAATAAGGAAGACAGTAGACGACAAAATGTCCACTCTTCCTCTTAGCTTCTCTGTTCTCGTATCTTGATTTTTATGCTGTTACAGAGTATAAAGTAATTTCCATATCTCCTTTCTCTTTACGGCCGTAAAAAAACATCATTTGAAACCCTCGCATTTAGCAATGCCCTCCATAAAAAAAAGGCAAATTTGAGATTAGATGAACGTTTAGTCCATTCTTTATGCTTGCATCTGTTCCATGACTTTCTATGTTTGCCGTTATTAATCCGCTGACAACTTCATTATAATAGACAAAACAGACATCGATTTCGACTAGCCGGCTCTTAATCTGACAGCGAAATCGCTGACGGACAGTCGTATTTCTGCTCTTTACCGTTTACCTATTCCACTGGAATCTTGTTACATCGCTGTCGAAGTTACATGGGGCCTGGCAATAAATAAATAAACGTATTTTACTGATCGAGGATAATAATCTGGTTGGCTTTTTTCGTAAGGGTCAAAGCTTTGAAAACAAGCCAAAAATAGTTACTTAATATATTTCTTGTATGACATTCGGAGAAAACTATTATGACGTTTTGGATAAATTACATCTAGCACAACATAAAACGTATAATTTTCTTCCCTGTAAAGATGATGGGTGTATTGTTTCACTTCTCAAGCGATCTTCAGACCATGGTATTGATTTCTATGTTCATATATTTTAGAGCTACAGACTTACGGCCATATCACATAGAAACACCAGTTCTCATACGATCAGCGAAGTTAAGCAATATCGAGCCTGATCTGCATTTAGATGGGTGACCACTTGAGAATCCCAGGTGCTGTAAGTTTGGATGAGTGGGTGGATGGTATAGCATACGGCCATATCACATTGATATACGTACGATCGACGAAGTTAAGCAACGTCGAGTCTGGTCAGTATCCAGATAATTGGCCGCTTGCAAATACCAATTTATGTAAGCATGGATGTGTGGATGGTGTAATAGATAAAGGCGCGGATTTGTAAATCGGAGGGCCGAGTTCGAATTCCAGTCGGTTTCGTTATATTCACTTAGAGGCAAATACACTTGGGAAAGGTATGAATCCACCTCTTCTCCCACCAGCTATGAGTTAATTAGTATGACTTCCATCATTAAATCATTAATATCTCCCCCAAAATTCTTACAATCTAAAAATATTCTCTGATTTAAATAGCCTATAAAGGGTTGATAAGCAGTAGAAAATAAATCGATCAATCAATAATTTATATCTACAGACCTTCTGCCTTCTTATCCATATATATATATATATATATATATATATATATATATATATATATATATATATTTGTGTATTTAGGCAGGAAATTCTCTTTTAGTCATGTCTGATTGAATAAATTACGGACATTATGTCTGCTAATTTTAATAAAATCCGTTCATACTCACAAATAACCTTCTGTGTATTGATGTTAAAAGGATGAGAGAGATGTGCTATAACTGCTTAAATTTATTTTCATACGGTAATGGAAAACAACGCATATCTTTATATAAATACTTATACTAATGAACAACATACAGTTTTGGGCCACTTGCACCCGTGAAGATGATCTTGAAAAGAAGATTGAAAGTACTCAAATGAAAATAAAAGAATTTAAACATCTATATATATATATATATATATATATATATATATATATATATATATATATATATATATACCACATAACATCCTTGAGCGTTTAGCTTTGGAGCAGGTAGAATGGAGATCAACGTGTTTTAGTGAACTCAGCAATTTTCAATCTGCTTGTCGGAATCATCTTCCAAGCCTTGAGCAAGATCTAAAAGTCAGCCAATCTAACACTGATCTCATCTCACAATTCTCACCTGCTCCATATGTGGCCTCCTTTGTAAATCACTAGCAGGTCTTAAATGCCACTTAAGATTATCGCATAATCTTTCATAACTGAATCAATAAGCTGGCAGATCTTCATACGTCGAAACCGACAGGAGAGTCCATTATATATATATATATATATATATATATATATATATATATATATATATATATATAGCATAATGAAAGCCACGTATGCTTTCTTAATATGTATATATAGAAAAAACAACTAAAAATTTGCAAATTAAAAAAATAATAATAATGTTTTTTTTATGAAAGTATTTATTTATATTTGATATTTCAGATCGACCTCGATCTTTCTTCAGAAATAACTGTTTTTAGAGGTTTGTTTACAAGTAGCGTCCGTCGCGAGATGCAGACGTCACGTGATATGGGACGCCACTGTGTTCGAATATTTTTTAACGTAAATCTAACTGTAATAATATTTTAGATGTTGTTTAAAAACAAAAATTTTAACTATATCTAAAAAAAATGTTTAACTATTGAAATATTCATAAAGATTTAAAATAGCCAAGTCCTTATTTAACCCTAGTTTATATGTATTTAATTTTAAAACCCAGTATTTTTCTGTTTTTTCTGCGTTTGTATGTGGAACTGAAATCAGAATCTATCAATAAACATTTACAGTTTTCCAATGAGTGTCCTGATTGACTAAAATGTTCAGCTATGGGGGAATAAGGATTAGATTTACGTTAAAAAATATTCGAACACAGTGGCGTTCCATATCACGTGACGTCCACATCTCCCGACGGACGCTACTTGTAAACAAACCTCTAAAAAGTTATTTCTGAAGAAAGATCGAGGTCGATCTGAAATATCAAATATAAATAAATATAAAAACATAATTATTATTTTTAATTTATTTTAGTTGTTTATATATATATATATATATATATATATATATATATATATATATATATATATTTGCATCTCAACAAAAAAAATATACATCTACATATATATATATATATATATATATATATATATATATAATGTAGATGTATATTTTATTTATATAATACACATATATATATATATATATATATATATATATATATATATAAACCAATCAGGCATCCTTTTTACTCAATCACTTATCTTTTCTTTTTACTATGGGCCCTTTCTTTTCTTCTCTCAACCTTGAAGTTGATTCTGATTGCGTCGCGAAAGTGAATGCATGGCCCGGATCAGGTGGTTTATATTGAATCTCCGTTCACGATCGCAGTCTTTAATGAAACTTGGGCATTGTTGGATTGCTGCTTGGTTAGTTGCTCTCTTTCTCTCTCTCTCTCTCTCTCTCTCTCTCTCTCTCTCTCTCTCTTATTCAGTAACTCTATGTAAGAAGTCGCTTTGAATCTGACGCCCTATTTGGAGAATTGGGTCCGTACGACCCCCAGGTTCATGACAGACACTGTGAACTTGGTGTGCATTAGCGTAATACCCGTGTCTATGCGCAACTACTCGTCTTCATTCCTTTTCACTTGGCCACATTTAAGAAACATGCTATCCTGTGCTCAGCAGCTCGTGCCATTAATACAGCCGGCCTAAGTCAGATTGGTTAGGTTAGGCTCGTTAATTTAATTATATATGAATCATAAGCCTCGTAGAACAAAAATCACAATGAATTAATAGATAGGTAGCCACAGGCTCGGTTTTACACCAGAGTAAAAAAGAAGGAGACAGAGAACCGGTTTTACGCCAAAGTCCAAACCGGTTTTACATCAGAGACCAAACCGGTTTTACACCAGAGCCAAAAAGTTGATACAGGTTCGATTTTACACCATAGTAAAAAAAAAAAAAAATTAAACAGGGGCAAAAGAAAAGCAGACACAGATTTGATTTCATACAAAATCCAAAAACTAGCCATAGATCTAAAAATGGCTGGAGCGTACAACGGCCGAAACGTCGTGAGGACAACAGTCCGAACAATGTAAATAGCGTAAATAGTTACAATACCTCGTCTCAGAAATATCGACAGATGTACTTTCCTAGCTTCTAAATTTTTAATAACGTGTGTTAATGGTGTGGAATATTTTATGGATTGAATAAATTTCAAATGCACATCTATGATTTCCCTAATATTGTCCACAAGATAAAATATTTTTGCGTCAAAATAAATAAAAATGATTTTTTTTTTATTCATTTAATACAAGGCCCGTAATATCAGTAATGTCTGACTGGTCAGGAAAATAAAGTTTCTAAAAGTGTGAATAATAATGTGTTTTGTCGATCCCAGATTGATCGGGTAGTTTCTCTCGTACGTATATATAAAAACAAAAATAATATGACTTTGTTCGTCATTAAACCGTAAAATTTTTGTCTTTTCGAGTCAATATGGCGTCAGCCAAATGTGTGCTTCGAGCAACAATGCACTGCTTTGAAACAGATAATTTCTCCGTCAATTTTCTGCAAATGAAATACCCAGCCGATCACGAAGCAACTGAAATCTCCCAACTGATGTCTACTTTCAGAACTGAAGCCGCAGACATGACGACAGCAGAGGTCGATCGGTGTACTCAAAGTTGTACCATTTTCTTTGTAGTCTTGAACTGCTTCGATTCGATTTGGTGCCTCAAATAGTTTGTCTTTACAGTATCTGAAGACGTACATTCATTTACATTTAATTATAATATCCGTATACCCGACCTACAGAGAGAGAGAGAGATTGTAATAGAAATTACTTTAATGTTGTCATTAATAATAAAAACAAATTCAATAACTGACTATATTTATACTATTTACATTATTCGGACTATCGTCCTCATCATGCCATATTTATCACAACGTTTCGGCAGTTGTACGCTCCGGTCTTCTTCAGGTGGCTGGGATGTCGAACTGAACCCTTTATTTCGCTCGCTGGAGTAGGCTGTTCTAGTTCCACGTGCCATGTCTAATGGATGTCATTTATCAGTTATCTCCTGTTAATTCCCCTCTCCAAGTTCTCCACTGCCTTAACCAGGTATTGAACTCACACATGGCACGTGGATCTAGAACAGTCTACCCCAGCGAGCGAAATAAAGGGTTCAGTTCAACATTCCAACAACCTGGAGAAGGCCTGAACGTACAACGGCCGAAACGTTGTGATAAACATGGCAACAAAGAAGAGGACGATAGTCCAAACAATGTAAATAGGGTACATAATACCTCATTTCAGAAATAAAGACAGATATTGACTATATTTATGTATTAAAATAACTGGTTCTTTTCTAATTCACCGGAAAATAAAAAGAATTTATATTTACTAAAATTTACACCAAATTATCCCTGAGCAAGGCCTTTCCATGGCACTCCGGTTGGGTTCACCTTTGCAATAGCCCCAAATGTGGGCAACTCAGGTGCGCTATTTCTTAGTATGGGGGTCTACGTTTGGGATCACCCTGAGAAACAAGCCAAAACCATTTTTTTTTTAATTTTAAAAAATTCCTTGTAAGTACTTCGAATATCATACGCACTTACGAAATGTGAATAACTCCCTGATTTTTAGTAAATTTTCATTCTGAGGATTGGAGTTGTTGCGAGGCAAGGTAAACAAATTTTGATTTATAATTTCAAAAGAGTGCTAAAAATTTAATAAAAGACAAACTGATTTCAAATTTATAATCTCTAGGTAGTGAATTAATATTTGCGATAAGTAACTTTACATTATTTGAGGTGAATTATCAGAAAAGATACAAATAATTTTGTAATTTTTTTATTAATTATAAAAATAAAAATTAATTCAACAACTGATTAGTTTTACTTACGGAAATAACTGTTTTCTTCAGCAAAAAAATAAAAATTCGCTATTTAAAAATCCTACAATGTTTTTAATTTGAAGTAAATTAAATTATTAATAATATTAAAAACGAATTCAGCAAACTTATTATTTCTTCATTTGTTTAAATAATTCGGTAAAATTCCTTAATATATATATATATATATATATATATATATATATATATATATATATATATATATATATATATATATATATATGAATTGATTATTTTGATTTCGTAATTTTTTTCGGCTCCTCCCAACAAATTTGTCGTTACTTGAAATGGCAGACGATACTACAAACGCTTCAGGAAATAATACGCAGCTTACATTGCCAGATTTAAAATTATCGAATCCTATTAAAATTTCAATATTTGTTAAAATCACTTACTTTATGGCTGCTTCTTGAAAAAATAGGAAAAAGTTATTTCTAGAAGCCAAATTTTCGATTTTTTTTTAATCTTTTTTTTTTAAACACATTGATATTTCTTCTGGTAATTTACGGGTGAATTTTGATAAGTCATACTTTCTATACAAACATGATGAATTGAAAAAATCTTTGTCTACAACAATATCAGTTTTGGGTTGGTATTTTGCGAGATGCTCCATGTAATGAAAACAGGACAAAAGATTCTGTCTAGTAATCTTTTATTCAATTAAGAATACTACTACTCGTCTAACTTGACAAGCGGAAGTGTACAGCTTTTATAGCGTGGATTATCAAAGGGGAGATAATTCATATTCACAACACTACACTTTATGAGTAAATATTTATGGACTCCTGGAAAATTTATCCCACAAATCATCATCTCTCTTTCTTTCTTAGTTTCACTGAAACCAAACAGCGTCTCTAATATGTTTTTTCCGTCTTTGCTCCTGATCAAAATGGAATAGTCAATTATTTATTAGACATTGGCAGGGTGTACGTGCTAACTAACTAGGAACGAAAGAACAATCAAAATTATAATCAAACTAGAAAGACCCGTGAAAATTTCACAGTTTTCCTATTTGAATTTTGTAATAAACCTTAATTCTTAAGTCAATGATTGAACAAGCTCATGGTGAGTTCTGTGACAATAAAATATCCATAAAAATTCCCCAATCACATCGTTAAATATGTGAGCTTAACCACTTTAATAAAATACTACAATAGCAATCTTAAATTGGAATGTTGGTCGTTATTTTAAGAAATGGATACAAATGAAAAAATTTGAAATTGAAAACTTTTTCCTTTTCGCTGAGACGATAAACTACGTCCAGCAGCAAGGCCTGTAATTATAAGGTTTTGAGGAGCGTGGAACCACCTCTTAATTGCTGGTGTCCCCAGGTCAACCCTGACCCGGAATAGTAGCAACTGTTAGGGTCCCAGCTATGGGCAAATAGTTAACTCCGAAACTGGGTTACACTATGAAAGTGTAAAAATAAATGAAATTAATATGAAAAGCTAGAAGATGTAAGCCATTGAATGACCCATGTCCTTTGTACTTACATGAGAAACTATATATTACTAGGTTTATAAAAAATAAAAATTTACTAAATCCGAGAAATGAATTAGCTATTTTTGCCGTCATTGTGATAAATTTTACTTAAATTATATTTAAATATAAATTTTTTAAAAAAAATTGTGACCTGGTAATATACATACTTATACTTGATGGGAAAATAATTTTACATACTGTAAGTAATTCTAATACATTTACTTGTTTAAAAAGAAATATAGTATATTAAAAATTAAAAGTGAAAATATTTTTAAAATCGTAGTTAAATAAAACGTATTCTAACCTGGACACCCACCCAAAAATCTTTAAGTATACAAATAGAAAAAAATGCCGTAAGAATTTTTGCCGATAACAATAATTTTTTTTTAAAATCCAGACGACATGCATTTAACGGATGTCAGAATTCATTGAAAAATTCGTCCCTACCCCTACTAAAATGTAACTAATAACTGATACATCAAAATACAACGATGATGAACACGCAACCACCCCTTGTCTGGATGAATGGATTTCTCTGTATCCTTGGAAACGTGAATTATGAATTTTTGCTGTGCCCTTAAAACTCAGTAAATTTAAAAATAAGTTATTCCAAAATTCGCTTGAGGATGAAATGGAAATAATGTCTTTAATTTAATTAACAAAATGAAATTCGAAGCTTTTAGCTTCCATTTTTGAAACATAGTTAGAACAGTGTAACGAAAAAAACATATTTTAAATCAATTAATTTATAATATTAATGCTCCGTAAATTTACATTCAGCACTATTTTGTAAAAATAAAAATATCTATAAGAACACCGGATTATATATCTTACTGTTCTTTCTTTATATATATATATATATATATATATATATATATATATATATATATATATATGAATGACTTGATGTAGCTAAGACGTAAGGGGAAAATGATTCTTGCTTTATAATTTAGTCAAGATAGTATCAACTTGGAAAAGAATGATCATGTGAATTTGATATATGAGATTCTAATTCTAAATTTAGCTTTGACGTCAAGGGGAAACTAATTTATCCCGGAAGATTAGAAATAACTTGCCAGGTACTGCACATGCCTGCTTGCTTCGTTGATGTGCGGATCAGCTTTGAGAGTTTATTTCAAACATCGATCAGTTGAGTTTCCAAATTTAGCGCCAAATATCACGTGATAGAATATTTCGTTTGACTCTTCTGTCTCAAGTGTCAGCTGAGTGTTTATCGGTATGCACTCAACTAAATGTGTTGCACTCGAATGCACTACAGTAGGAACTAACCTTGCTTGTCGCGCTACAGAAATGTTACATTAAGACGAGGCACCTTGAAATATTTACTCACTTTACCTTTGCCTAGGCCAAGTTTGCAAATAAAGGCGAACTCATCAAGAAACAAAATATATTTAAAATGATCCTTGCTAGATGAAGAATTAGTGGGATTACCTGAAATTAACCAGGAGCTAAAAATAAAACATTCTCTGTGTGTATTTAATGACGATCGCTTGAAAATTCACCTTCGTTCCCACGTCAGACACATTGTATGGCAAGTTATACCCAAGGATAACACCGAACCTGTATGCTGCATTTGCCTATTTTTGACTTTTTTTTTTATTCACCCCAAGCAAGGTAACAAAGCCACTTGATTGAAGGGATTACTGGGTGTGAAAGAATATATGAAAAACCTTATTAAGGAGAGAGAACAATAAAAGAAAAGGAATTAAGAAGATAACGCATTTAAATTTTTGAAGATCAAACTTACCTGGAAAGCGAGAAGCCGGAAGAGAGTTCCACAAGCGAGAAGTGCGAGAAAAGAAACTGTCAGCATAGAATTTGTCAATTGTTATCCTTGGGTACAACTTGCCGTAGAATGTTTCTGTCGTGGGAACGAAGGTGAGTTTTCAAGCCATCATTAGATACACGCACAGGGCCTTTTACTGGTTAATTTCAGGCAATATCACCTGTCCATTTTGGGTACGACGTTTGATATGGTTAGCAGGTCCTGTTCTGGAGAGAGGAACTCGACTAAATACTGAACAGAAATGTCTTGGATGGAATAAATTCTGGTTTCGAAATGGTCGTCATTTTTCTATCGTTTCTTATGAAATTTTGTTACTTTGCCCAAAAGATCTAAGTCTTCAATTACGTCGCTGCCACTCTGATCTGTTTGAAGATAAATAACTGAAATTTAAATTCTTTGAAATTTAGTTCTAATAACTTAATTTATTTAAATTATTTACGTTGTTCGGAATATTGTCCTCATCTTTATTGTCATATTCACGACGTTTCGGCCGTTGTACGTTCCGGTCTTCTTCAGATGATTGAAATTTCGAACTGAACCCTTTATTTCGTCCACCGGGATAGAGTGTTCTAATTCCACATGCCATGTCTCTTCCGGATGTCTCAGTTATCTCCCTTTAACTCAACTCTCCAATGGTGAACAAAAAAATGGAGAGTTGAGTTAAAAGGAGATAACTGAAACATCCGGAAGAGGCATGACACGTGGAACTAGAACAATCTACCCCGGTGAACGAAATTCCAATCACCTGAAGAAGGCTGGAGCGAACAACGGCCGAAACTACGTGAATATGGCAATAGAGATGAGGACAACACTCCGAACAATGCAAATAATGTAAATAAATACAATAGCTCATCTCAGAAATATAGACAGTGAATAACTTCATATATCCTATAGAGAGATATTTTCTAAGCTCACCCAAGTCGAGCACAAGGCCACAAAAGTACTGCACCTGTGAGGATCAAACTATTAGCAAATATATAGACACCGATTAGTAAATTGAAATAGTCTGGCAACCAGTGAGAACTGAGCTCATAATTTGATACACGAAGGCTACGGTAGAAACCCATTTCAGTAAGTTATGTGCCATGCGTGATACACGCTTAGGCGATCATGTATCTTTCGATACATGACTGACGAGGCAGATTTTTTTCCCGCAGTAGGTTGCCATTTCTTTCTTCGGTAGACCAGTTGCCATGCAAGGCTAGAGAACCCGGTCTGCCCTGCTATTTACTCATACCTGGGTGGAGAAGAAGATTCATACCTTTCCCAAGGGTATTAGCACGTAAGTGAATATCATTTCAGTTACGTGCCATGCAGGATACACACTTAGGCAATCATGTACCAGTTGCAATCCAAGGCTATAGAACCAGGTCTGCCCTGCCGTTTTATGTGCCATACGTGATCCTCGCTTAGGTGATCATGTATCTTTCGATACGTGACTGACGAGGCAGATTTTTTTCCTGCAGCAGGTTGCTATTTCATTCTACAATAGACCAATTGCAATCAAAGGCTATAGAACAAGGTCTCTCCTGCTATTTACCAATAGCTGGGGAGGGGAGAAGAGGAGGATTCATACCTTTTTCCCAAGGGTATTAGCATGTAAGAGAATGTAATGGATTTGACTGGAATTCGAACTCGGCTCTCCAATTCCTTAATCTGAGCCGTTCTCCCGTACCCCATCGTCATTAGAGTTTCACTGTTCTGTAAAAATAAACTAGGAAAACTACAACCAAGCCGAGACTCCCAAAATGGCTGGTGGTCACTGTTTCCTTTGACGTAGGCGATCATGTCTCTCTGATGATTCCTTTTATTTATTTATTTATCTCTGCTTTTTCATATGCGAATTGCCCTGAAACCTCTTGAGAAAGAGAGTGGAGTGCTTTTCCTGTTGCATGCTCTACGGTTTGGAATTCAGAGATTTCCTTCTCTCTTACTGTTTGCCTCCCACAGTCAGAGATGCCAACCTGTCCTGGTATTTAACACATTGGCGGTTGTAAAAAGAAGAAATGGATCCATGCCTTTTGCAAGGACAATAGACTAGATCGGATTTGAACTCGACACGTCGATTTCCATTTGCACACAAATAAATATTACCCCACTTGCATGATCAGAGCACGATGTGCAATGCTAGTAGAACACACACACACATATATATATATATATATATATATATATATATATATATATATATATATATATATATGTATGTATATATATATATATATATATTTTAAAGAAAAACAGACTACTTTAAGGTACCATTATAATAATTTATTTCACCAGAGCCCTATTAAAGGACGCCGGATCATCAGACAGCACTTCCAAAAATGAAATGAAACGAAAAATGAAATTAAAATTGATGGTTAGTGTAAGTTTTTGTAATTTAACAGAGTGTAAAAATAGTAGTTAAAGAGATATGGTATAGTTTAGGGAGGGATTAATTTCATATCTCTCTCAATCATACTTGGGGAGGAGGAGTGACCAGACCTTGACCTATTTAGATGGTTAACTTAACGGAAGTGATATATTGAAATGGGAGGGGAGAAGGGAGAAAAGAAAAAGAAAGAAGAGGGAGAGGCAAGTAAAGAGAAAGAGGCTGTAATTGGGTTTTAGCAATTTATGTAAAGAATAGATTTTAATGCTTAGATGTCTAAAAAAAAACAAAGAAATTAATATGATGCTTGCTATCAATTTAAATATTTAATTTTTTTTTTTTTACAAATAGTTTAGGGATTTAATATAAGTTAAATACTATATTTATTAACACATTCATAGAGAAAATATTTTTTAAAAATTTAAATTATAACAGTTTGTTTACCCGACCAATCGTACTTTTTTAATATTGTAAAAAACAGTTACGGTAACATCTTTATCAGTTTGAATCTAATTTATGAATGTAATTTATAATTATTTTTATATGGGTAATCTTTCTTACTGAAATTCACTTAAAGTTTTGCTATTGTGAGAGCTAATAATTTTTTCTACATTGCTCATGCAGGAATAACTAATTTTTAAATTAATTTTGTTGAACATCTTTTTTATATATATAAAACTTTCGCTTCTATCTGCAAAGAAAACAATCATTCTAATGTCTTATGTTGTTCAATATCGATTTCAGATATCAGGAAAACTAATTCCCCGATTTTTGGCAAAATTCTACCAAAATTACTTCTTATATTGCTTTTTTAATTCACTATATTTCTTCTTCTTCTACGTCTTCTTCTTCTTCTTTTACTTCTTCTTCTTCTTCTTCTTATTTCTTCTTCTCACTCTTCTTTTATGTCTTCTTGCTCGTTTGCTCTTCGTCCCTCTTCTTTTTCTTTTCCTTCTTTCTCTCTTTCTTTCTTTCTTTCTTTCTTTCATCCATCTCTTCCTCTTACTATATTTGCGCCTTTTCTTTTGTTTCTCTTCTTCACCTCCGTCATTTCCTCTTCTTCTCTTGCACCTCATTCTTCACCTCTTTATTTCTTCTTGTCTCTTTTCTTCTTCTTCTTCTTCTTCTTCTTCTTCTTCTTCTTCTTCTTCTTCTTTGTCCCTATTTTTTGAAAGAGGTCACCCGGTTCATGATAAAAGAAAGATAATGACTATGTTTATAAACAAGCACTTGCTTTTTTTTCTATGTGAATTTCTTAGAACGAATTTTCTCATTTTTGTTGATTTTTTTTTGATTTTTTTAGAAGGGATGGCTTTTCTTTTCACAAAGTTTCGACCGTGTACCCGTTAACCTTCCACGGATGGGCGTGGGTGTTCCAGAATACTGTGAAAAATGTAGAAAGACGAGGAACTTAATCTGAAGAAAATAACATAAAATGATTTAAACACACCAGGAGAATTCTCTTTACATAAACACACACGCGCACACAATTATTTAATATAATTATTCTCTTTATATATAAATATTCTTTATATATTTATATATATTATTTAAAACGTTCTTTTTGGTGTCCCTTTTTATATTTTAAACAGTGCGTATTACATATATCAGCCAGCGCATTGGTGAATTCATAATAAAAAAAAATGTTCCCCCTGCAGGATTCGAACCTGCATCCCCTTAGTAGGATAAAATCACGGTTTGATACGGCGTGCTTTAGATCGCTTTGACGATGAGGGCAAAGAGCTCAGCAATGTTCATTTTTTCCCTTTTAAGGAAAGCACATTTTCTCGTTCAGGTCTTTTTCTCGAAAGACTATATCTGTTTAGTTTCGCATCCGAAAGTCAAGACTCTTTCCTGACAAATCGACAATGGTGAGATTCGAACATGCATCAGCGGAACCAGACTTTCACTACAACTTTGTTGTCATTTTGAGTCAAGTTTCTATTCTCTACGACATCTTACGTTTACTAAGTACTAAGACGAAAGTCATTTATATATATACTAGCAGCATGACCCGGCGTTGCCCGTGATTGATTCAAAAATCGTACGACTCATACAGCAATCGCTGTCACTAAACTTAAAATATTTTTACCTTTCCTAGCCTTTAAAGGAGTACCCTTTACCATGCTGATGTTGCTACATGCCTTACTTCTTGCCTATCTCACACTGCGAACTTTTTCTAAGCTCTATACTAAACACTAAATCTGTTACGAAAAAAGAACTAAATAAAACGAACACAAAACGACATGCTTTAAAAAAGGACTCGTAACTGGAAAAACCGAATGAAAAAAGAATGTTAACAACAAATACTTTTTCACACCCAAACAAGTTCTGCGGAATCAGAATCAACGTTGAGTTTAAGCAAGCGAATGAGCCAATTGGAGTAAAGTGCCATGCAGATTTAAATTTTTCCCACTTGTGACGAATGCAGCTATCGATTTTTTTTTGCATGCTAGCATGCTAGTCAACATTCGTGTCAGTCAGCTGTTGGCTCTCACGCTGGCCAATAGAATCTTCCTGCCTATTCGTGGCAGCCAGCTATAGGCTCTCACTCTGGCCAGTAGAAAATTGTCGCAAACTACATGAAAACTGCCGTAGAAGCATGAAAAATCGATTATTTCCACTACTGATGGGAGATGAAAAATGCAAAGTGGATCTTGTCCTTTCTGCTACCTTGGAGCATGTGCATATAAATTTTGGTGCAAAGCCGTCGAAAATTACGGCCGTGCATTCGTTATACACACACACACACATCCTGCCTTATATATATATATATATATATATATATATATATATATATATATATATATATTTGTCTTGCCAGCCACTTTTCTATATTTCGAGTTGGTGCTGCTTTTATATTTTGATCGAAGGGCACATAGACCCAGATTATTATGATGGAAATCAATAATAATAATACTATGAAATAAAATTAGAAATAATAATAATAATAATAATAGTCACAAAAATGTAGAAACTTAAAAACACGATTATCCTTCTTGAGATAGGGACACTGGGTACGCTAAAGAAAGGTACCGAAAATCATGTGAGCAAAATTTCCTGGACACATCCGCATCTCAGAGCTACAAAACATTACTTTGTGTGGAACTTCACATATCATCTGCAAAACTCACTGCATCTAAACGAAACGTCCTAAACTTATACCTAACGTAGATATTGCTCGTACAGGGCCCTTTTATTCATAGAACTCGGAGGTAACTTGGTAATTAGACACTTAAATTTACTTTCTGGCAAGATGATACCACACAATAATAATAGCATTATTAATAATAATACAACGAATAACGACGAAAATGTGGCATATGGGAACATCAACAATTCCTGTTGTAGTTGGAACCCTAGGACTGGTTGGAAAAGATTGCAGTAGACTAATTGAAGTGATTCCTGGAAGTCCATGCCTCAAGGAGATACAAAAAATTGTTCTGACAAGTACAGCCCACACTTTACGAAGGGCTTTATCTATGTAATTTAATTTTTTTTTTTTTTTTTTTTTTGTCAGTGGAAAGTGTCATGATGCCATTTCTAACCTTAGGTCCCTGGGCGGGACCCGGAAAGAAATGGGTAAACGCCAGAAATCAAAGAAAATAATAATAATAATAATAATAATAATAACGAAGTAATAAAAATGTTTTAACTTAAAAGCACGATTATCCCTGTCGTGATAGGGGCATCGGGTGTGATAAAAACGGGTACCGAAAATCATCTGAGTAAAATTCCTGGACACATCAGCATCTCAGAGCTACAAAAGATTGTGTGGAACTGTACATCTCATCCTCAAAACCCTCTCTATCTAAACGAAACGTCCCAAATATGCATAGATTATTCTACTACAGGACCCTTTTTACTCACAGACCCAAGAGGGGACTTGGTAATTAGGCAATTAAAATTACTCTTCGGCAAGATGATATCACACAAAATAATAATAATAACAATCGGTTTTTAGCGTTGAGACATATATGATAGTAACAATAATAAAAGGGATTGAAATGAGTGATAAAATATTAATGAAAAAAAGCTGTAATAAAACTAGTAATAAAAAATGTTACTAATGAAGGGTTAAAAAAAAAAAAACAAAGCAAAAAACTAGGAAATTAGTCCGAAACGAAAACCACATGCAGTGATTAAAATACCTCGTCTAACAAAATCCAGACAAGAAGCATAATAATAATAATAGTTATTATTATTATTATTATTATTTCCTTTGATTTCTGGTGTATACTCATTTCTTTCCGGGTCCCGACCAGAGACCGAAGGTCAGAAATGGCATCACGACATTTTCTGCTGAGCATTTTTGAGAAAAAAAATCACACATATTTTGTATAGATAAAGTCCTTCGTAAGGTGTGGGCTGAGTTTGTAAGACCATTTTTTTTAATATTTCCTTTATTATTATTATTATCATTTTTATTTTCTTTGATTTCTGGCGTTTACATATTTCTTTCCGGGTCCCGCCCAGGGACCTAAGGTTAGAAATGGCATCATGACACTTTCCACTGACAAAAAAAAAAAAAAAAAAAAAAAAAAAAAAGAAATTTACATAGATAAAGCCCTTCGTAAGGTGTGGGCTGTACTTGTCAGAACAGTTTTTTGTATCTCCTTGAGGCATGGACTTCCAGGAATCACTTCAATTAGTCTACTGCAATCTTTTCCAACCAGTCCTAGGGCTCCAACTACAACAGGAATTGTTGATGTTCCCATATGCCACATTTTCGAGATTTCTATTTCAAGGTCCTTATCATTATTATTATTATTATTATTATTTGTGTATGTTATGTTTCCTGCTTTGTGTCCTGTAGAGACAGATCCAAACTATAGTCCTTAAGCCCTATAGGAGAATTGTCATTTAATTGATAGCACTTTCCTTAGTATATGGGATGTTCCTTATAGGGCGATCACCTGGGCAATTTGTATGTTGATGTTACCTGGAACACTCTCAGTAAAATTGCCCATTCCTTTTCTCACAAGGCCCAGAGCTCCGATTACTATTGGTACAGTCTCACTCATCATTCCCCACATCCTGTTAATCTTGATATCAGGGTCCTTGTATTTCGACAATTTCTCGACAATTTTCATGATATTTCTCTCAGTTGGTACTGCTATTTCAATAAGCATACACTTCCTGAATTTCTTGTCTTATATGATTAGATCAGGTCAGTTGGCTTATTTCCCTGTCAGTTTGAATTAGTATGTCAGCAGAGAATGTTATCGAGAGAGAGCGTAAAGGGTCACGCTCCTGGAGGTTAGCAGCAGCCATAGTGAAAGGCAGAAAGGAATCTATCTATCTATCTATCTATCTATCTATCTATCTATCACAATATAGTTTCTATCTATCTATCTATCTATCTATCACAATTTAGTTTCTATCTATCTATCTATCTATATATATATATATATATATATATATATATATATATATATAACTGTTGTGGTACGATACACCTAATTTACATAAGTGAAGTACCGACCATATAAACATGGGTTGGTACCGGAAGACGGAAAAATAGTAGGAAGAAGAAGAGATCGAATCGAGAGACTCTGCCCGACTGCGATTAAGTCAACCCATTCTGCAGGAACAGTCTTCCCAAGAATATACCAAAACTAACTGTAAATATTGTGTACCGTTTCCTTGTTTCAATACATTTTGTTTACGTACATTTTGTGTTGTATTATTATTATTCCATGCTTATCCAAGTTTCAACACTAACTATCACAATATAGTTTCTATCTATCTATCTATGGCTAAATAATAGTGATGGAAGGCAAAAATGGGTCTCAAATGATTGATGGAGAGCAGTTTTTTCGTTTTTAGAAATATCGTATAGCAATCGTATTGTGGACGCGTGGGATGTTAATTCGAACAAGGAATAAGAATGAAATTACAACCAATATTGTAAATTTCACAACAGCATTTTATTGTTTTAGCAAATTAAATAGGAAGAATATAAAAAGAAGTAAACGGAAGTGTACGTGTAGAGCCGACGTGCTCTAGACTGACTGAGCTAGAAAGAACATGGCCGATCAAGCAAAGCTGAATAGTACTGTTAAGCGAAATTCTCCTCGTCATAGACTCTCGAAATGTTCATATCTCTTAAGTTTCGTATCCAAACGTAAACAAAGCAATTTTCAAAAGAAGTGTCTTTTTTATGTATTAATCCGACAGATTTTGTCACCTTAAACATCATTTTAATGTATACTGATATATGAGTAGACACTCCGTTTATATATTAAATAGTATATTTATTTATTTTCGTCCACTGGCCTGAATAAGATTTCTCGGACATTTTTCCTAATGAGACTAAAAAAGTTTTATTTCGATGAAAGATCATATTATATTAGAGGAGGCATGGTGGAGTAATGGATAGCGGCTCGAACTGAGGAATCGGAGAGCCGAGTTCGAATTCCATACGTGCTAATTGAAATAGCTGAAGGTTCTATAGCCTTGGATGGCAATTGGTCTACCGCAGAAAGAAATGGCAACCTACTGCGGAAAAAAAACTGCCTCGTCAATCATGTATCGAAAGATATATGATCGCTTAAGCGTGTATCACGCATGGCACATAACTGACTGATATTATATTTACTTTGATTAGAATATTGTATATATTTAATGATTCAAAATACAAACATTTGCGTAACAAAAAAACATGTGGTTAGTTTGTGTCATTAAAAGTAACTGATCAACTGTCGTCAATAGAAGAAGTAAAAAGAACAGGTGTCCTTGAGATTCAGTGATGTGGGAGGCTCGTTATGAAAGTTTGAAAAAATCCAAGAGAAACGAATTCGGTAGATAAAATGTTTTTCAATCAAAAGGCATGATGACAAAAATACACATAATTTTTCAGGAGCCACAAATCAGTTGTTATAGAATTTTTTTATTCAATAAACAATTATTTCAGATGAAGAAACTGGTCCTTCGGCTAAAAGAAAAAAAAATAAATGTTCAATTTCTACGCTTTAAAGAAATTAAGAAAACGAAGAGACTTATTCAGGGGATGAATAAATAAAATTAATATGGCAAAAAATTGAACGAAAGCAAGGTTTACAAAAATTGAAAGTAATAAAATAGTTAAAAGGAAGGAAGGAAGGAAAACGATAAACAAAGCGGACGATAGCAAAACCCAAGTAAAATTAATAAATGAAAGAAAAAAAAGAATGAATGGTCATATGAATGAATAGGAAGGAAGGAAGGAAGGAAGGAAGGAAGGAAAGACGGAAGGAAGGAAGGAAGGAAGGAAGGAAGGAAGGAAGGAAGGAAGGAAAGACGGAAGGAAGGAAGGAAGGAAGGAAGGAAGGAAGGAAGGACGGGAGGAAGGAAGGAAGGAAGGAAAGAAAGAGATGAGACAAAAAATCCTAAGAAAAAATAAATATTAGAAAGAATGAATGAATGAATGAAAATAAATAATAAAGTAGTCAAATAAAAGAGGTAACTGCAATTAAATCCCAAATAAGAAGGGTGTAATTATATCATCTTAATTACCTTCCTTGGCTGTTACTCTCTGTATACAGAAGTGTAACCTTTGTACATCTCTATCTATAAAAGGCAAGATGTGTGTGTGTGCGTGTGTGCGTGTGTGTGTGTGTGTGTGTGTGTGTGTGTGTGTGTGTGTGTAACGAATGCACGGCCGCAATTTTCGACGGATTTGCACCCAAAATTTACATGCACATGCTCCAAGTTAGCGAAAAGGACAAGACCAACTTTGCATTTCCCAACTCCCATCGATAGTGGAAATAATCGATTTTTTCATGCTTCTACGGCAGTTTTCATGTAGTTTGCGGTCATTTTCCACTGGCCAGAGTGAGAGCCAATAGCTGGCTGCCGCGAATAGGCAGGAAGATTCTATTGGCCAGCTGACCGACACGAATGTTAACTAGCATGCTAGCATGCAAAAAATCGATAGCTGCATTCGTCACAAGTGGGAATAATTTAAATCTGCATGGCACTTTACTCCAATTGGCTCATTCACTTGCTTAAACTCAACGTTGATTCTGATTCCGCAGAACTGGGTTGGGTGTGAAAAAGTATTTGTTGTTAACATTCTTTTTTCATTCGGTTTTTCCAGTTACGAGTCCTTTTTAAAGCTGATCGTTTTGTGTTCATTTTGTTTAGTTCTTTTTTCCGTAACAGATTTAATGTTTAGTATAGAGCTTATAAAAATTCGCAGTGTGAGATAGGCAAGAAGTAAGGCATGTAGCAACATCAGCACGGAAAAGGGCACTCCTTTAAAGGTAAGGAAAGGCAAAAATATTTTAAGTCAAGTGATAGCGATTGCTGTATGATTCGTACGATTTTTGAATCAAGCACGGGCAACGCCGAGTCATGCTGCTAGTTCTCTATATATAAGAAAGGATATTTTGTTTATGTTAATCGTGGTATTCTTGCTTTTAAACGTAAATAAGTAACTTTATTAAATATTGATAAATTTTTCATTCTTTTTTTTGTGTTAGTTCCAAAGTAACGTTGGACTAGCACAATAGCCTCTTATACTTAACGTCAGAAAGAGATAAGTTGGAATTTCTCGGGAATATAATGAGGAAAATATTTTTTTGCATGCTAGCACGCTAGTTAACATTCTTGTCAGTTGGCTCTCACGCTGGCCAATAGAATCTTCCTGCCTATTCGTGGCAGCCAGCTATAGGCTCTCACTCTGGCCAATAGAAAATGGCCGCAAACTACATGAAAACTGCCGTAGAAGCATGAAAAATCGATTATTTCCACTATCGATCGGAGTTGGAAAATGCAAAGTGGATCTTGGCCTTCCCGCTAACTTAGAGCATGTGCATGTAAATTTTGGTGCAAATCCGTCGAAAATTGCGGCCGTGCATTCGTTACACACACACACACACACATCCTGCATTTTATAGATAGATATGTCAGGCGGACTTATCGATCTGGTGGAGTGAAATAGGGCCAGACAACTTGTATCTTTAAACCCTTCGGAACTGGTAGCGTGGCGGCGGAGAGATTTCCTTGTCTGTCACTTCAGAGCAGATCCAAATCTCTTCTCCTCGTGGTCAGCTTTTTTTCAAACCCACGTGGTTTAATTAACCAATGAGAGACCGCTTCATATTATGTAACCTACCTCTATATATGGCAACAGACGCATTTTACAGTCCTAACAGAGTCCTTTTTCTATTTTCTTCGTCGTCGCTCACATGTTCGGTCCAGGTATTCTCAATTTCCTTCTGTAGTACTATATTTATCCGGCTTCAAGTATCTTCATCTCTGAGGTGATTATCCAGCATTCCCTGTCAAATACGAGCACTGATATCGTGTAACAGTTTAGTACTCTTTTCTTTGTTTCTAACGAAATTTTCTTGTTTCTTAATACTTTGCTTAGCTTTTGGAAGGCACCTTCTGCTATCCCAATGCGTCTTCGGATTTCAGTGTCGCATTTTCCGTCCTCTTCATATTTAAATTGTTATACTTGTTTGAGTTTGATCTCTTCTTTTCTTTAACGACCATGTATTCTATCCTTTTGCTATTAATACTTATCCCTTTCTTCTCGCTTTCCTTCACTAGGAGTTCTTTTAGTTTCATTTCTGTGTTTGCTATCAACACAGTTTCATTTGCATATCTTATGTTGTTAAGATTGTCGCCACCAAGAATGAATCCTGTTAGGACTTTTAATTCTATCAGAATCGCCTCACAGTAAAAGTTGAATAAGTCCGGCGAGAAGACACATCCTTGTCTTACACCCCTTTCTATATTTATATATTTACTGAATTAATTTTCTCTCCGTATTCAGGCGGTTTGCTACCAGTATAGGTTCAGGATTATTCTAAGATCCTTCCCAAGTATGCCATGCTTATCTCGGCAGTTATAAATTAAGAACCCAGGTTGGATTCCAACATATCCTTCCGTCGAAGATCGACACTTTTCTATCTAATCGCAGTCTTTTCATATTTAATCGCAGTCTGCTCATATCTATCTATCTATCTATCTAATCGCAGTTTGTTCATATCTATCTGACGCAACGCACATTGAACACCTGAGCTGATCGTATACGATGGCTCAAACATATCTCAACATGGTTCTGTTATCCTTCAGAGTGCCTATAATGGTAAATAGACGATGTTAAAGGTCTTTGTTGCAAACTTAGAAGGCCGAACCATATTAGGCCCACACTGTCTCAGAAATGTAAATTTAGTGACGCTACCTTGTGCCATTGTATAAGCGAAATGGATGCCAGTTAACTTCACAAAAGATGTGACGGAAATGAACCCTGATTAATTCGTCCTAATTGCTAATTTAGCTAGGCGGTATCGCATTGTCCAAAAATGAGAAAGATGTACCATCCACATGAAAGTTTACAGCCCACTTGATGAAGCAACATCAGTCAGTCTTGTTAAATTGAAAACAGCTGAAGCTGTCGCAAAAATAGATTCGGAATATTTATTTTCGAGCGATGCTTATCTTTATCGTGAAGTGGGCTTCTCGAGCGGTCCAGACAAAGAGAAGTCACTAAATCAACATAAATTGCTTTTTTACATGAAGACGATAGTACAAAGAACAATCCGAGCTATAAAACTGACCTGTACCCCCGAAAAGACACACAGAGAAACGAAGCTGGCCTCGGAGAACGGATAGGGAAGACACCCGTTAGACTGTTCAATCTCCCCCACTCCCGCTCTCACCTACGCCTAATCTAAACTTTGCTCGGTTATAGAAGTAGGTTATAACCCAAGAATAAAATCTGGTTTACTGCTAGAAATTGTTTTGTTTTTGACTCGTGGGTAACGATCAACGCGTTTGACTGGAAGAATCTGCACCCTGTCGACGAACCTGGTGTCTAGTCTGAATTTCAAGGCAACTTCAGATGACACGGAGAAACAAAGGATTTTTCGCAAATTACATGAACCAAATGACTGGGCCAGCAGGCTCGGGCATATGCACAAAACCAAATGGCAACCTACGGTTATGTCTAGATCCAAAGGATCTGAACAAGACTATTCACGGTAGTGTTGAACTTTTCACAAAACTGGAATGCAAAAAGAAGATATTGGTCTGTCGCTTAAACTCGGCCCAGAGTTACAGTTACTGAAAACATTCAGTTCTTCGTAAGGAAGACACTGGTTCTAAAGAATATATTTTAGTTTTGTGATGGCCCATGATGTTTTTCAGCAAAACTGGAGATTGTCCTGGATAAATGTACATTTATCCAGGACAAAATCAAAGTGGCAAAGGATCAGAACCTGCACAGACTAACGAAAACAGTACAACCTGAAGGACTTATGTTCAATAACAACAAATGAAATTAGTAAATCAGAAACAGATATATTGGGGGGGGGCTTTATGACAAGAATATAAGTTGACTATGAAGGACAGATGCTAGAGCTGTGTAATCTTATATGCATTCAATTTAATGCTTCTTATTAATAACGGCATTGTTTCTTTCCAGATAAACTGACTTCTGACTGTTAAAGAAATACTTCAAATGTATCTAGCAGCTATATCTCTTGATAATGGTCAAAATTTGGCATCGTGGTGTTATCAAAATAGATAGATAGATAGATTGGTAGATATGTGCGGACTGTGATTAGATAGATATGAACAAACTGCGATTAGATAGATAGATAGATAGATATGAGCAGACTGCGATTAAATATAAAAAGACTGCGATTAGATAGATAGATAGATAGATAGATAGATAGATAGATAGATAGATAGATAGATATGAGCAGACTGCGATTAAATATGAAAAGAGTGCGATTAGATAGATAGATAGATAGATAGATAGATAGATAGATAGATATGAGCAGACTGCGATTAAATAGATAGATAGATAGATAGATAGATAGATAGATAGATAGATAGATAGATATGAGCAGACTGCGATTAAATATGAAAAGACTGCGATTAGATAGATAGATAGATAGATAGATAGATAGATAGATAGATGATAGATATGAGCAGACTGCGATTAAATATGAAAAGACAGCGATTAAATAGATAGATAGATAGATAGATAGATAGATAGATAGATAGATAGATAGATAGATAGATAGATGTATCTAGCAGCTATTTCTCTTGATAATGGTCAAAATTTGGCATCGTGGTGTTATCAAAATAGATAGATAGATAGATAGATAGATATGAGCAGACTGCGATTAAATATGAAAAGAGTGCGATTAGATAGATAGATAGATAGATAGATAGATAGATAGATAGATAGATAGATATGTTCAGACTGTGATTAGATAGATATGAACAAACTGCGATTAGATAGATAGATAGATATGAACAGACTGCGATTAAATATGAAAAGAGTGCGATTAGATAGATAGATAGATAGATAGATAGATAGATAGATAGATAGATAGATAGATAGATAGATATGCACAGACTGACGTAATATAGATAGACATACAGGGTTTAGCTCCCAAGGGCATTCATGCTGACATGGTTGCCATATTAGATGATGACAACCCAGCTTTATCAACTGTACAAAAGTGGGCAGTTAAATTTAGGAGGGGGAGGGAGATGACCCATGGTCTGGACGTCCTACAGCTGCCATCACCGAGTAAAACATTAACACGTCTGCGATGGAATGCCAGCCACAGATTTTGCAAAGATCCTCGCCAGAAGATGGTTCTAGTATTATCACTTCCCCACCCCAAAAAAAACAGCTATTAAACCCCCAACAAAACACCAATACTTTCAACTCCCATTCACAAAAAAAAACTCCTGTCTACACACCAAGAAGGTCCCACAAAAAACAGCAATAACAATACACCTAGGATAACCACAAGCTCACATTGTATCATAAGATCTCTTGCGAAATATAATCAGTGAAAGTATCTTAATAATATATGGGTGTGAAATATTATACATTAAATGAGGGCCGGTGCGTACTACCTCCGACCTCACCGCAACCGGAAGACAAGTTTAATTGGGAATCCTGGCTAGTGTTTTGTGACCCTCGTTATGTATCAACATTTGTTTTTTGTTTGTTTGTTTTTACCTACATTTATATACGTTACATTTTTTTTTGTGACAAAATATTACTTTATTATCAGTAATTTTTTTTATGTTACTACAATAAATTCGATGTTATTCTGTGGTCTTCTTTTATTTTCGTGAATTTATTTATTTTTTGTTTTTGTTTTTTACAACGGTTTAAACGAGACATTAGTCTTCTGTGCCCCGTCAGCCGCCCGCCTAAGAATTCCTTAGATATATTATCTCTTTTGAATTAGGATTCCTTAAAGAAACCTTTTGGAATTCTAAGCACGAAAAATAATACAATAAAACTGATATTTTCTTTCTATTACAACCGATACAATTTCTTAGAGAAACGATCGTTAATACAAAATAATAAAATTGATTATTAAGAGAAAATATCAGGTTTATTGCATTATATATCTTATTTTCTTCAACAGAGTATCGGTTTTATTAAAACCGATATTTTCTAAAAGAAATACCGGTTTTACTGTTTTCCTTTTCTTGATTAGGACTAAGGAACGCGTATCGTAAATAGATATAGTGTCTATGGAGTAATGTTTATTCATAAAAATGCAGTAAACGTTCATTATGATTAAAGAAACCCGAATCTGAAATAAGAAAAATAACACAATGAAACCGATATTTTATTTTTATTAAAGTCGATAGACTTTCTTAACGAAACGTTCATTAAAGAAATATTTTTTAATCTGAAACAAAAAAGAATGAAAAGAAAAAAATCGATATTCCTTTACCTCTAGAAACTATCGGCTTTATTAAATCGTTTTTTTTTTTATTCAATTGTTAATTCATTCATTCGAAACAGTGCTGGTGCAAAATGATTTACCTTCGTGGTCAAACGATTAAAAAAATATAAAATACTGTTCCTTTAATCGAAATATATTTGGAAACATTTACATTTAATTAGAAAATGTATTTTATCAACAAACAAGTGAATATTTTAAGCTTTTAAGTGATTAATTTAAACGAATATTGAAAAAGTATTTTTTTGGTTGGTCATAAAGATAAGACCATGTAAATAAAAATAGAAAATACAGAACAAATAAGTCACAACGACAATTTAATATTCAGTATATCCTCCATTTTTGTGAATTACGTCGAAAAGCATTGGCAAACTCATTATTAACTTCTGCATGGCGGTACTTGGGATGCTCGCCCAGGATGCATAAACTGCAGCACGAAGAGCATCCACAGTTTCAAATTGCGATCCATATTTATAAACATCCTTTGCCATCGATTCCCAAACATCCTCGATTGGGTTTAGATCTGGAGAGCACGGTGAATGGCTCGAAACCTTCGAGCGTTGTGGATTGCAGCATTGTTCTGCTGGAAAATCCAGTTTTCTCCAAATAGACGAGGGCCTTCAGTAATTAGCAATGCCTTTCTTAACATGTCAATGTAACTTGCAGCTGTTTGACGACCTTTTAATTCCTGTAACTCAAGAGTTCCATTGTACGAAGATAAATCCCAGACCATAATTGATTTACCTCCACTGTGTCGTGTTGAGAAAATTTCTTTTGGAACTTCTTTTTCATGCAAGTAACGTTGAAAACCGCCTGGGCCATTAAGGATGAATTTTACTCATCTGAAAACAACAATTTCTTCCATTTATCCACATCCCCAGTTGATAATCGAAAGCAAATTGTAAACGGGAGGTTTTGTGGCGAGGAAGAAGGCGAGGCCTCTGCAGCCGTTTCACGTTCTTAAACCCTTTCTTATTTAAATGCCGTCGAATTGTTCAAGAGATGCATTCATCTTCTGTACTAGCTTTTATCTGATTTGAAGTTAGGCTTGAATCTCTCTTAACTTCTCGCCTAATGCGTCTGTCTAGAGATGGTGAGATTTTATTGGAGCGACTGCTTGATATTTTAGAAGCATACGCATCCGGATTTTTAATGAAGATGGCAATGACAGTTGTGCTACGGCCAATTTCATTTGCAATGGCTTGTTGCGAAAAACCACATCTTTGATGTTCAACAATCCTACTCTGTTCGAACTTTGTTAAAATTTTACCCTTAGCCATTTTATAATCTGAAATGTAATGCTGGAAATAAGCTAAGTACATACACTATACACTGACTAGTTCTAAAATTTTTGCCAGTAATTTTTTTTCACGCATGGTCTTATCTTTATGACCAACCAAAAATATACTTTTTCAATGTTTGTTTAAAATAATCAAGCTTTCACTTGTTTGTTGATAAGCTACATATTCTAATGAAATGCAAATGTTTCGCAAATATATTTTGATTAAAATAACAGTAGTTTATATTTTTTTAAACCTTTTGTGTCTGGTGTTAAGATTTTGATCAGGAATGTATTTTATTAAAGCAGATATTTTTTTACAGATAATATCATTTTTATTGCATTTTCTTATTCAGGGTTAAAGAACATTATTATTCATAAATAGTAAATCATGAGGCAATGTTTTTTTTCATAAAAATCTAGTATTTATTAGTATTATTTTTAGTATTTATTTAATCTTTTATTATTAATTTATATATTATATATACAGGGTGACCCCAAAAACGGGAACTTTTTAACAATCCAAAAAAACCAAGAGTGATGAAATAAAAATATTTTATTCATAGTAATTGAAACCTTAAAACATGCCATTTAAGAAACAATGATGGAATTTTCATTTTTTAAAAATTACGTCCTGTAGATAGCGTCCTCCTGTACGAATGCATTCTTGAAATCTACTGTTGAGATTCCTCATTGTCTGCTGCAACATCTCAGCTGGAATACTGTGAATTTCATCTTGAATTCTAAATGGCGAAATGTTTGCTTCCTCAAGGTCACTGTCTCGCAGTGTTGACACTTGCTCATGTCTGGCAATACGCACTTCAAAAATTCCCGTTTTTTGGGGTCACCCTATATTTTAATTACAAAAATATTATTATTAGATAATTTTATTAAAATTATTATTAATATTTTAATATTAAAACTTCAAACATAAAAATATAATCTTAATAATTTTTCTATTTAATAATCTTTGTTAGTGGTTGGCTTTTGTCTGTTTTTCAACTTTCTGGTGGGATTTTGTTTGGTCCCTCAAAACTAAACCTTCTTAGCTGTTTTGGATAAAAGGAACCTATCTATTATAAAAATTAATTAATGAATAAGTACAGAAATAAAATCGAATAATTAATTTAAAAAAAAACAAATTGGACTGTCTAAAATTATCTACAAATTACCACACCCTTGTTAATTCTGAAATAATAAAAATAATAATAATAATAATGTATCTTTTATCCTATCTAAAATCCTCTGAGAGAAATGAGTGAGTCATACTTTCTTAAAGGTATAAAAGAAAAAAACAGCTGCCACAAGCTTGAATATTAACTCTGCCCCTCCAGTTCGGCTATTCAAGTTGCTAACAAATAACCCATCATGCCTCGTATTAGGATCCAATCCTTAAAATCAATAAATCAGTCAATTATGTGCCATGCTTGATACACGCTTAGGCGATTATGCATCTTTCGATCATGTCTGACGAGGCAGATTTCTTCCCGCAGTAGGTTGACATTTCTTTCTGCGGTAGACCAGTTGCCATCCAAGGCTATAGAACCCGGTCTGTTCTTCTCTTTACCCATAGCTGGGGGAGAAGAAGAGGATTCATACCTTTCCCATACCTTTTGATTTTTCATGTCTCTGTGTTTACAGAGAGGTGAGAAAGAGAATGATCTTATAGCGAAAGAAAGTATAAAGACACAGTGGAAAAATAAGTGAAATTACCTGCGTGTGTTGGGTTGCGGTCAGACGTGTGAGGCGGAGTATTTGCCGCTTCGAGCACTGGTTTTTGTAATCTTTTTACCGGAAGGGGTGGGATGCGTAGGTCTGCCACCTTGTTACTTAAGGCTTGCTTTCATTCCCTTCTCATCTACTTTTTTTTTCGAGAGGACTATATGAGAAAAGAGTTGTTCCGCGAGCTCTCTTCTTCTCTCATTATTAATTGATCCTTGACTGAAATTTGGGTGGCGAGACTAGGGGGTGTTTCGCAACACATACTGTACCGGGCCGGTGGGTGAAGAGATACAATGCCATAAAATCAGAGTAGTAAAAAAAAGATTCTTGGATAGTAGAATTTTCGCATTTTTATTTCATAGTTTTGGAAAAGATTTCTCTCAGATTTCACTGATGAGACTAGGCAATGTTTCACAACACTTACTGTACCGGGCCGGTTTCTGATTTTCCCTTTGAGACAAAAGGATTTACACATGCATAGAAAGGAATGTGCTCATAGTGAAAGAAAGTATAAAGATACAAAGGGTGGATGGAGAGATACAATTCCATAAAATCAGAGTATTAAAGAAAAAGATTCTTGGATAGTGGAATTGTCGCATTTTTATTTCATAGTCTTGGAGAAGATTTCTCACAGATTTCACTGACAAACTGAAGCGAAATTCTTTCATAGAGCCTTTGCTTTAAAAACGTTGAAATAACTTCAGCATATAAAAGATTTGATTTTCTTCTTTTTCAAGGATGCTTTCAGCATATATTTTTCTACCTCGAGTTTAAATTTGAATAACATTGTTGTTTCCTTAAAGAGGTTACAAACAGACACAGAAGGTACTCAAGTGAAGGAACAGCAACACGTATGTAGATGAAAGAAAGAGAGGTTTATTGTAAAAGAGAATACACTGCTGAAAGACAGGGAATCGGGTAGCAAACTAGTAATTTCCGAAGCAAGGATATCTACCAACCGCCCCACGCGGTCAGATATGGCACAAGGTCGAATTTAATGTGGTGTATCCGAGCCTGTATGCTCGGCCAAAAATTCTCCGTATAAAACGGGGTCGGGTAGCTGTTTACCCAAGACGAAACTCTGCCTTTCGACATAGCCTCGTCTGGGTATCATCTCCGCCCGAAGGCAGAGAGTTTGACCAGCACAGCTGGAGACGAATCTCCGACTCTAAATAATTCCTGAAGCAAGGATATTTACCTTACCTCCCCGCGTGGCAGGATGTGGCACAAGGCCATTTTTTTAATGCAGGGTAAATCCGAGCCCGTAGACACGGGCAAAAATTCCCCGTAGAACCCATATACACGGGGTCGGGTAGCTGTCTACCACCCCAGACGAGAATCTGTCCTTCGGAATAGCCTCGTCTGGGTTCCTCTCTGCCTGAAGGCAGAGAGTTCGACTAGCTTAGCTGGAGACGAATCTCGAACTAATTGCCGAAACAAGGTTATTTACCTCACCACCCCGCGAGGCAGGATGTGGCACAAGGCCTTTTTTAATGCCGGGTAAAACCGAGCCCGTAGGCTCGAGCAAAAATTTCCCGTAGACCCCGTGAAAACGAGGTCGGGTAGCTATCTACCACCCCAGACGAGACTCTACCCCTCAGCACAGCCTCGTCTGAGTTCCTCTCAACCCAAAGGCAGAAAGTTCGACTAGCTTAGTTTGAGACGAATCTCCAACTAATTGACGAAGCAAGGATATTTGCCAACCGCCCCACGCGGTCAGATGTGGCACAATGCTGAATTTAACGTGGGGTTACCGAGCCCGTAGACTCCGGCAAAAATTCCCCGTAGACCCCGTAAAAACGGGGTCGGGTAGCTGTCTACCACCCCAGACTAGAATATGCCCTTTGGCATAGCCTCGTCTGGGTTCCTCTCCGCCCGAAGCTTAGCTGGAGACGAATCTCCAACTAATTGCCGAAGCAAGTGCCCAGGTATATCTTGTGCTCACTATATATATCTACTGATATAATGAGTTCACATAGGCGATAGGGAGTGTAGGACATTCCATTACAACAAAAATAATCTTTATATAAAAAGAAAGTTAAGATTAAACTTTAGAACTAATAACATTGCTATTAAATTTTCAGTGGCATCTTACAAGTATGAAACGATATTAATGTGGATTGCAGAAACGAAAATAGCAGATGACTGCATCAGTAGACAAGATCCTGAATTTGTGCATTGCATTACGTGTATTGCTTACTACACCAGTGACTTTTGCAAGTATCGAAAGAATTTTCAGCAAGCTAAAACATATAAAAATTATCTGCGGTCTACAATAAGAGATGAAAGAGTTATCCAGGTTAGCAATAATTTCCTTTGAAAATGAATCTGCTCGATCCCTCAACTGCGATGAAGTCGTGAATACATTTGCTCCTGTTAAGTCTCGAAGACAAACTATATAAAATTCATTATTTTTCATCCATAATGTTGAATGTGTTCAAAACGTTTTAACAAGAAAAATCTCAAGTCGATGTTAAAAATTGCCGCAAAGCATTGTTGATTTATTTAAGATGGAATGGTTTGTTATTTATTAATTTGTATTTAGATACATTGGATTTAGTTTCTATTTTTCTAGTTGTATTGTTCATCTATACTGCATATGATCCATTATCGCTATCTATAAAAGACAGGATGTGTGTTGCGGGGGGTGAAACGAATGCACGGCCGCAATTTTCGACGGATTTACACCAAAATTTACATGCACATGCTCCAAGTTAGCGGGAAGGCCAACTCCCATCGATAGTGGAAATAATCGATTTTTTCATGCTTCTACGGCAGTTTTCATGTAGTTTGCGGCCATTTTCTACTGGCCAGAGTGAGAGCCTATAGCTGGCTGCCACGAATAGGCAGGAAGATTCTATTGGCCAGCGTGGGAGCCAACAACTGACTGACATGAATGTTAACTAGCATGCAAAAAAAAATCGATAGCTGCATTCGTCACAAGTGGGAAAAATTTAAATCTGCATGGCACTTTACTCCAATTGGCTCATTCGCTTGCTTAACTCAACGTTGATTCTGATTCCGCAGAACTGGGTTGGGTGTGAAAAAGTGTTTGTTGTTAACATTCTTTTTTCATTCGGTTTTTCCAGTTACGAGTCCTTTTTTAAAGCTGATCGTTTTGTATTCATTTTGTTTAGTTCTTTTTTCGTAACAGATTTAATTTTTAGTATAGAGCTTAGAAAAAATTCAAAAGAGCACTCCTTTAAAGGCAAGGAAGGGCAAAAATATTTTAAGTCAAGTGATAGCGATTGTTGTATGAGTCGTACGATTTTTGAATCAACGCCGGGCCATGCTGCTAGTTGTACATAATTAGGTTACAATAAAATTTGTATTTTATATGAAATTTTTTATTTTTTTATTATGAAAATTGAGATTTAGTGGAGTGGTGGGGGATCGTATCATAGACTCGGTGTGGGGGCATCTAGAATCTTGCACCGTCCCTGCTTCAAATGAATGAACGAACAATAAATAAGTAAATAAATAATTATAAAAATCAGAATTAAATATGATCATAATTACCCCTCTTGAGTGTTACTCTCTATGGAAAACTTAGCTTTGTATATTATCAATAAAGCATTAAAGTAAAAATGGCTGAATCATACTAAAGTCGGAGTGTTTCTTGTCTGTTATTACCAAATACTGTTTACAATAGATAAGTTCGTGAATCCTAACCCTTTTTGGGTTATTCAATGAGAAATTTCGCATCGGTGCATTCACTGAAGACCGAACATATTCCTCGGTAATAATGATTAAATACACAAGCCTCGTTGATCATTAGCTAATGCCGTAGATAGATAGATAGATAGATAGATAGATAGATAGATAAAATAGATAGATTAGATAGATAATAGATGAGATTAGATAGATAGATAGATAGATAGATAGATAGATAGATAGATAGAAATAGGCTGAGATTAGATAGATAGATAGATAGATAGATAGATAGATAGATAGATAGATAGATAGATAGATAGATAGATAGAAATAGACTGAGATTAGATAGGCAGATATATAGAAATAGACTGAGATTAGATAGATAGATAGATAGATAGATAGATAGATAGATAGATAGATAGATAGACTGAGTTAGATAGACAGATAGATAGAAATAGACTGAGATTAGATAGATAGATAGATAGATAGATAGATAGATAGATAGATAGATAGATAGATAGATAGAAATAGACTGAGATTAGATAGATAGATAGGATAGAAATTGACTGAGATTAGATAGATAGATGGATAGATGGATGGATGGATAGATAGATAGATAGATGGATGGATATGGACTGAGATTAGATAGATAGATAGATAGATAGATAGATGAATGGATGGATAGATAGGCAGATATATATAAATGGACTGATTAGATTAGATAGATGGATGGGATAGAAATTGACTGAGATTAGATAGATAGATAGATAATAGATGAGATTAGATAGATGATGGGATGAAAAATGAGCTGAGATTAGATAGATAGATAGATAGATAGATAGATAGATAAATAGATAGATAGATAGATAGATATATAGCTAGACTGAGATTAGATAGATGAATGGATAGAAATTGATGAGATTAGATAGATAGATAGATAATAGATAGATGGATAGATTAGATAGATAGATAGATAGAAATAGACTGAGATTAGATAGATGAATAGATAGATAGATAGATAGATAGATAGATAGATAGATAGATAGATAGATAGATGAAATAGACTGAGATTAGATAGATAGATGGGATGAAATGGACTGAGATTAGATAGATAGATAGATAGATAGATAGATAGATAGATAGATAGATAGATGGATGGATAGACTGGAGTTAGATAGACAGATAGATAGAAATAGATGAGATTAGATAGATAGATAGATAGATAGATAGATAGATGGATGGATGGATAGATAGATAGATGAAATGGACTGAGTTAGATAGATGGATGGGATAGAAATTGACTGAGATTAGATAGATAGATAGATAGATGGATAGATAGATAGATAGACTGAGATTAGATGGATAGATAGATAGATGAGATAGATAGATGGATGGATGAGTTAGATAGATAGATAGATAGAAATAGACTGAGATTAGATAGATAGATGAATAGATAGATAGATAGATGAATAGATAGATAGATATAGACTGAGATTAGATAGATAGATAGATAGATAGATAGATAGATAGATAGATAGATGAATAGATAGATAACAATGAAGAAAAACGGGAATCTTAGAAAAACTTTCTAGAAATTAAAAGAAATGAAAACTGAAGATATAATACACAGTGAAAGAAAATAAAGAAATTAAATAATGAAAGAATCAAACAATGAAATGATGAATGAAGGCCAAAAAAAAAAGGCCATCTATAAAATAAAACAAAAACAATTCAAACAAAGAAAAAAGAAAATAGCACAAAAAGTCAATTAAAAATAAACGAAAATAAAAAAGGAAAAACATCCATCGATGTTAAGAAGAGTTGCTTCCCTTTCTTCAAAGCGTTAAGTAAAACGCAACCGATCTTTCTCCAGATTTGTTGATATCCACTTAGAGCATTAAGCAGGTGTCTTTTGGTAGACTGGCGACAAAAGGACGTGGCTTTTATTCTTCACAACCACTTGGTGGAGGTACTTTAAATATTTCCTGGTTGTTTCCAGAAAAAAGAAATTGATGCCGCGCATGTTCAGCCCAAAGTCTAGTCACCTGCGATCTAACAGGAATATGTTCTACCTACTTTCGTTTTGACATAAATTTAAAAATAGACACACAGAGAGAGAGAAAGAAAGAGAAAGAGAAATAGCGAGAGAGAGTGAAGACCAGACTGCGATAGATAGATAGATCGATAGATAGATAGATAGATAGATAGTGAGAAAGAGAGAGAAAGAGCAACAGAGAGATAAGAACAGACTAAGATAGATCTAGAGAGACAGAAAGTGCACAGAATGAGATAGATAGATAGATAGATAGATAGATAGATAGATAGATAGATAGGGAGAACGAGAGAGATAAAGAGCAAGAGAGTGAGAGATAAGAAGAGACTAAGATAGATCGAGAGAGCGAGAGAACAGACTGGGATAGATAGATAGATAGATAGATAGATAGATAGATAGATAGATAGATAGATAGATAGATAGATAGATAGATTCATTTCCTATGGCCTATCAAACCTTTTTAAGTTATTTAAAACTAGAATATATTATCCAGCGTGAATATGTAGTGTTCTACCTACTTTATTTCTGAGAGAATTTAAAAAATAGATAGATATGAACAGACTGAGATAGATAGATAGATAGATAGATAGATAGATAGATAGATAGATAGATAGATAGATCTTATTACTTTACATTTCATATTTAGTGGATACACGTGATTGAGTAAACATCTCTTTTTTTAGAGACTACTACTACTGGTCCGTTTTTGTTTTTTATTTCTTTTATATTCGACGGTCCTTAATGGAAGAAATGGTTCGCTTCTCCGTCCCGCTTGTAGGAGAAGCAAACGTTAGATCCTGTGAGATTTCAATGACCCTATTTAAGAAGTGGACATCTCTTGTTCGGGTCCCTCGAAGCTCATTTTTTCAAACTTTATTTTCGTATCTGAAGCATAAACGAAGTAATTTCTATGAAATTAACGGATTTTATTTATAATCCGCCATTTTTACTTATTACATCAAACGTTATAGTGATCTTCCAAGCGTAGCTTAAATGTGGCACAAGGCTGAAAGTATGAGGCAACCTGTAAGGATCGAACTCATTATTCAATTGTAATTGTTCTAGCGAGACAAGCTTGCTAACCACTACACCGCCTCAAGGTGCCTCTTCATGAAATGTTATATTTAGTTGACGTGTTTGAGCAGACATTTATGTTCTTAAATACATGAATTGTATTCTCTCTCTCTCGCTCTCTCTTACACACCACACACACACACACACACACACACATATATATATATATATATATATATATATATATATATATATATATATATATATATATATATACCATGTCTGAAGTTATTAAGCAAATCATATAAACTTCAATATTTCAAATTTGGTTTGAAAAAAATTGTCAAATTTTAAACAATCAATTTTGATATCAAAACAAAGTGTGAGTTAAAATTTTAGGTAATATCAATATGTCAGTTTTATTGAAGTTATTTCATGTATTCTAAAAACCCACCGTCTGTAGTTTATAGGCAAAATCACATATTACTTCAATAAGAAGCTAATCAAATCATCAAAAATTGATCAAATTTGAATCCGTTACATTTTAATATAGTGAGACTTATTCTCAATAATAGCCAATAATCTATTATCCATTGATTTTGTTAATTTATTACTTCAGCAGGTTCATTTCCCGACATGATAATTTTAATTGTTTCCCATAGGTCTGCTTTGCTGTTATATTGTTTGCCACTTAATTTCATTTTCATAATTTACCATAGATTTTCGATCGGATTCAGATCACCACTTGATGGTAGCCATTCAGTTATCTCCTCTCCTGTAAATCTTTTATGCTCTAAGAATTCACGGGTAAGCTTAGATGCATGAAAAGGAGCAATGTTGTGCATAAATACACACTTCAGTTTCAAATTGCGAGACTAGTACTTTTACTATGCAAAGAAAGTCTTGTTCATAAAAATCGCAATATTTATCGCTGTTCAGTTTAACTGCCTCATCGACTTTGAATGGTCCAATAATGATTTGCTCTAAAATTCCAGCTCATATCATATTACTACCCTCTCCTTGTTGCCTTTTTAAACCACAGGAACGTCTGAATTGGATAAAATCCATCCTTCGGACCATCAAATATCACTCGAGATTCGTCCGTGAAAATTACTTTAGAAAAGTCAATTTCCATTCCTTTCTTGGCCCAATTTTGACGCTTTAAAATGTTTGCTTTAGTGAGAGGAAGTTGCCTAGGAGATTGTTTTTTTACAGATCCCAATTCACAAAGTATTCTACACCTTTTGTTCTTCTTGACTCTGAACGCTGATCAAAACTGGTTGTTTCGCTCTAACTCGCTTTAATTTACGTTCATCACGAGGAATCAGATTCCTTTTCCTTTGCTCCCAGTTCTCAGTTCATATTTTCAACAGCCTTCTTTATCGTTACATGATCTCTGTAAAGCTCCTTTGATATCTCCAACGTAGACATTCACTCACTCAATAACTTTGTTATTTTCTGAATTTCATCAGTGGTTAGATCTTTCCTTTTACCCATGTTTCAACATATATTATGGACAAAAAGGGAGAAATTGTTTTCATTTAGATTTCAGGGGTCTTAAGCGAATATTAGTTTTCATCTTCATAATTTCAGTTATAATTCAGTCATTTTCATAAATTCCAACTAAACTAACCATTAAAAATGGTAGATATATTATATAATTTAATAATTTCTTGCTCGATGAATAATGAATTTTACGCGAATTGTTTTTATTTTTTTTAAATTTTAATTATAATTATTTATAAAGTTTTAAATCTTTTAAAGTCCTGTATTAATTTGTAGCGGTTTTTTTTTTTTTGTAGCGGTAAAAACAATATTTACAAATCATAAATAGAAAAGCTTATTACAATTCAACGATTGCCAATATGTATTACCAATATCTCGAATAACGAGAGTGTAATATAATCATTCATATACAAGCTTGTTTCGCTGTACGACAGCCCATCAGTGTGGCTTCAAGCCGGGATCGGAACCCGACCGATTTGGCATCAGTCAGAGATCATACCCCTAAGCTGACTCGCACGGCAGAGAAAGGGAAAATTTAACTCATTATATACGGATGTATACAAACGCCAGCAGCCAGAAGGCTCAATTCATCTATAGATAGATAGATAGATAGATAGATAGATAGATAGATAGATGAGATAGATAGATGAATAAATGTAGATAATAATAAGATAGATAGATAGAAGATAATAAAGATAGATGAATAGATAGATAGATAGATGGATGGATGGATGGATGGATGGATGGATAGATAGATAATAAGAGAAGACTAGATTATAGATAGATAGATAGATAGATAGATAGATAGATAGATAGATAGATAAGAAGGAGAAGATTATAAAGATAGATAGATAGATAGATAAGAAGGAGAAGACTATAAAGATAGATAGATAGATAGATAGATAGATAGATAGATGGATAGATGGATGGATGAAGGAGAAGACTATAAAGATGGATGGATGGATGGATGGGAGATAGATAGATAGATAGATAGATAGATAGATAAGATATAAAGAAGACTAGATGGATGGATGGATAGATAGATAGATATGGATAGATGGATGGATGGATAGATGGATGATGGGGAGGGACTAGATAGATAGCTATATGGATAGATAGATAAATGGATAGATAGATGAATATATAAGATAGATGAATAGATAGATAGATATAGATGAAGGAGAAGACTATAAAGATAGATAGATAGATAAGGAGAAGACTATAAAGATAGATAGATAGATAGATAGATAGATAGATAGATAGATAAGGAGAAGACTAGATAGATAGATAGATAGATAGATAGATAGATAGATAAGAAGGAGAAGACTATAAAGATAGATAGATAGATAGATAGATAGATAGATGGATGGATGGATGGATGGATAAGGAGAAGAAGACTATAAAGATAGATAGATAAGGAGAAGACTAGATAGATAGATAGATGAATAGATAGATGGATAGATAGATAGATAGATAGATAGATAATAAGGAGAAACTATAAAGATAGATAGATAGATAGATGGATAGATGGATAGATAGATAATATAAGAAGAAGATTATAAAGATAGATAGATAGATGGATAGATAGATAGATAGATAGATAAGAAGGAGATTATAAAGATAGATAGATAGATAGATAGATAGATAGATAGATAAGAAGGAGAAGACTATAAAGATAGATAGATAGATAGATAGATAAGGAGAAGACTAGATAGATAGATAGATAGATAGATAGATAGATAGATAGATAGATAGATAGATAAGAAGGAGAAGACTATAAAGTTAGATAGATATATAAGGAGAAGACTAGATAGATAGAAAGATAGATAGATAGATAGACAGATAGATAAGAAGAAGACTATAAAGATAGATAGATAGATAGATAAGGAGAAGACTAGATAGATAGATAGATAGATAGATAGATAGATAGATAAGAAGAAGAAGACTATAAAGATAGATAGATGGAAAGAGAGAGAGGTGTCAATTTCTCCTCTTTATGGTTTACAGACTCATCACACTAGTTTTGCTACTGTGTTTTTAGAAAGTAGGCTTTTTGTGGAGTGATGTTGCCAGCCCAACCAGTGCATATTCAAAGTTATTCTTTTCCTAGACTAGTTGCCAACCAAGGCGAAACAGCACAGTCTTCCCTACTATTTAGCCTATAGCTATCATAACCACAATGCGTAGATAGACTTCTCATTAAAAGAAATGTTGACGTAATATACCTATAGATATATGTTCTTACCTCCTGAGCGTGTGTCTTGTGTGCGTCAGGGGAAGAGAATTTCGTGTACGCATGCGTATGTCGCAAGTCATTCGGTTCACGAACGAGGCGGATGTAACGGCCACCACCAATAACAACACTTGGAAATATAACGATCATCGCCCGACACATTATTTGATATATGTGAACATTTTTAGTGACTTACAGATTAATTAATTCTTGCGATAATCGCATCCAGACAAACAGGAAGAGGGATATCGGTCTAATCGTATGAGCAGATTGAAAAAGACCCCGCGGCGTCGGATAATTCCTGTTTTAGTGCCTCGGGGTCGGGTACTGTCTAAGATTCTTCATGGTAAGCGCTTTCGGCATGACGCACTGGGATTCGCAGAAGGGCGTTGCTGGAGTGAAATCAATTTTTGGCAGAAAGCCTGATACTTAGCAACAGAATAACATAGATAGATAGATAGATAGATAGATAGATAGATAGATAGATAGATAGATGAATAGATAATGAACAGACTGAAATAGATAATTAGGTAGATAAATAGATATGAACATAGATAGATAGATAGATAGATAGATAGATAGATAGATAGATAGATAGATAGATAGATAGATAGATAATGAACAGACTGAGAAGATAGATGGATAGATAGATAATAGATGGATAGACTGAGATAGATAAATAGATATGATAGATAGATAGATAGATAGATAGATAGATAGATAGATAGATATAGATGAACAGACTGAAATTAGATAGATAGATAGATAGATAGATTGAAATAGGTGATAGATAGACATAGATAGATAGATAGATGATACAGACTGAAATAGATAATTAGATAGATAGATAAATAGATATGAACAGACTGAAATAGATATAGATAGATAGATATAGATAGATAGATAGATAGATAGATAGATAGATAGATAGATAGATAGATAGATAGATAGATAAGCAGGATGAAACAGATAGATATTCCTCTTCTTCTATGTACCGTATCCATTTAGAATGTGGATGAACATAGCTCTCCACAACTTCCTATCCTTTGCAACACCTAGTATGTTCTGTTTTTCCCTCCCACGATGTGTTGTGCCATCCTCGTTAGGTAGATGACTCACTGTTTCCTTGTCCTTCTCAATTCCAGTGTCATCAGAGTGTCAAATTCTCTCTTTCCTCGGCATTCACTGCTATAGAGGAGGACTGATATTACATAAAATGCAACATTCTTTTCTTTATTTATAACGAAATTTCCCGTTTCTTAATACTTAGCTTGTTGATAGCCATCTTTCGCTATTCGAATAAGCCTTCAGATTTTGAGGTGACATTTCCGTTCTCTGTTAAATGACTTCCAGTATAGTTAAATTTTCGTACTTGCTTCAAGGTATCCAAACATAAAAATGCAGTATTTCAAAAACTACAATTTATTTTTATCATTTCACCCCATGGAAGGCGATAATGACACTAAGACGCAGGGAGGTGGCGAAAGTGAATGAAAGTCAAATGGGAGACATTATTTAGAAGCTGAGCACACATCAGTTTATGGAAGATCTGTCAATAATTTGACAGAGTTAAGGTTAGCGTTAAGCTATTCTCAACAAAAAAGAGGAACAATTGAAAATTTCTTGTAATTTTATAAACCCCATCTCATAAACCCCGTTTATTTGTTTCAAAATATATTTTGTTTCTTTCACAATTGCATTATAATGATTTTAAAACCTGCGCTCATTTATTTTCACCGTATATATATATATATATATATATATATATATATATATATATATATATCATTTAGCTTCCATTTTTGAAACATGGTTATTACTGTGTAGCGAAAAGACCATATTTTAAATCAGTTAATTTATAATATTAATGCTCTGTAAATTTACATTGAGCACTATTTTGTAAAAATAAAAATATCTATAAGAATACCGGATTATATATCTTACTGTTCTTTCTTTATATATATATATATATATATATATATATATATATATATATATATATATATATATATATATATATATATATATATATATATATATATATATATATATATATATATAATATATATACATTGCGTGCCAAATTATTATCAAGATAACTTTTTATAATATTTCAAAAACCCTCAATCAATTCACATAAAATTTTCACACAATGTTGGCAACATTGACCTGCGAGATCACTAAAATTTTCGTACTGATCTGCGCAATATAAACAAACTGGCGCCCATATTTGTTATCAGCACGGTGATTTGAGCGTGCCAAATTATTAGAAAGGTTTAGTAAAATTCCCAGAATTGAGCAAACAAAACGTTTATTAATGTTGCACGTGAATGTTTATGATCAAAAAAAGCTAATAAATAAGATAATCAAACAAATAATAACAGATACAAAGACACAATTTTAAACAAATTAATAGGGAATGTGCTTTCCCTGTTTTGAAATTACTTGAAGAAGTCGACGATCCATAGAATTTGTTAATTGTAGGAGGCTATCTGCTGTAATGCCGCGAGATATGTCAACAATTGCTTCCCACAACTTAACGTTGCTCCTGAATTGTTGTCTGTTGGCGTACAGTCTTCGCTTCATGATGTTCCAAAGGTTTTCGATTGGGTTCAAATCCAGAGAATTTGCTGGCCACTTCATTTTTCGAGGTCCATCGAAGCCTAACTGTTTCAAATATTCAGTAGTCTTGTGAGCAGCATGTGAGGGAGCATTATCTTGCATAAAAACAATGGCCTTTCTGAAGACAACTCTTTGCCTTTTCATCCACGATTCAAGATGCTCCTTCATAAACGCTATGTAGGCATCAGCAGTCATTTTGACGCCATCTGGTACTCTCCATGGGCCCACTAATGTTTTTCCAATAATACCGCCCGAGATCATTATGCCTCCACCGCCTTGTTGGCGTCTCAAACGCTGATGGCGATTCTGTTCGTTCATTACCCAGCCTTTGCACCACCTATCTGGCCCATCAAGTGTTGCTCGAGTTTCGTCTGTGAACAAAACTTTAGAGAAGTCAATCTTCATATTGTCCGCGGCCCATTTCAATCGATTTTGAATGTGATTTCTCGTCACCGAAGACTTCGATACAGGTTTGACTGTTGTTGCTATTTCCCTCAGATACCGACACCGAGTACTTTTAGACGCAGTAGGATCCCCAATGCGACTGAAAATCTCTTGACCGGTAAGTCCAGGGTTCTTTGTGGCCTCTTGTTTAAGTCGTGACATGAGACGACGTGAAATAACCCTCGGCTTGCCTTTATCTGCCCTTTTGAGTACTTGTGTAGGTTCGGCGGTGAACTTTTTCACTGTTTGATGACACCTCCTATCATTTTAGAAATTTCTAGGGTAGATTTACCTTTTGAGAATTCTGAGGTGATAGTTTTCTTTTCAGCATCACTTAAACTGCTTTTACGGCCCATCTTTTCACTAAATTCTTACACATTTATAATAATTTGGCACGCTCAAATCACCATGCTGATAATAAATATGGCACCAGTTTGTTTACATTGCGCAGATCAGTACGAAAATTTCAGGGCTTGCGCAGGTCAGTGTTGCCAATATTGTGTGAAAATTTTGTGTGAATTGATTGGACGGTTTTTGAAATATTAGAAAAAAGTTATCTCGATAATAATTTGGCACGCAGTGTGTATATATATATATATATATATATATATATATATCCACATTGTATATTTGTGATACACGGTAATTTCGGGAATCAGTTCACATTAATAGCGAATCCGATAATACGATAATATCATTCGATATTTCCAAGTTTAAATTTATTTAAAAAAATCACAACGTGCACAGAAAATATCAAATATACATGACATTTAAGAGATATAAATTAATTCGACAGTTAAGATTTCACTTATATTTGTACACACTCACGACCTATAAAACAGTTGGATAGTATCAGATCATCAATTCAAGATAGATACATGTGTTCTTTACGGCTTTTCAAACTTTTGGGCGTTATTTAAAGCCAGAAAATATTTCTAGATTGTAATATTCCCAAGGGTATATGAGCGTAAGTGAATATAACTAGCTCTACTGGAACTGGAACTCGGCTATTCGATTTCCAATACAGAGCCGTTATCCATTGCACCACCCACACATCCATGCTTACATCCCCTGGCATTCCCAAACGTTCACCGATCTAGGTACTGACCAGACTCGACGTTGTTTAACATCTAACATACTAATGAATACTCAGTCTCAGCGCTACCTCCCATAATATAATACGTCGTCACGCGCCGGTATATGAGGAAGACGGTGTTGTTTCTTCACCAGCTGTACACCATATTGGGTTGTGAAACATTCGGCATCTAGCTTTTTTTTTTGGGGGGCTTTTGCTCTTATTCATGGCTCACAAGCGTAAGGCAGACACGTGGGTGCTTATGTAGGTTACGTCGCGCCTTAGAAACGGTTCTCCGACGTGCGTAAGTCGATATATATATATATATATATATATATATATATATATATATATATATTATAAATTAATTGATTTAAAACATGGTTTTTCGCTACACAGTTCTAACCATGTTTCAAAAATGGAAGCTAAAAGCCACGAATTTAATTTTGTGATTAAATTAAAGACATTAGTTCCATTTCATCCTCAACCAATTTTATATATATATATATATATATATATATATATATATATATATATATATATATATATATATATATATATATATATATATATATATATATATATATATATATATATGCTAAAATTCAACTTCGCCCTGCTGTGCGTCGACGGCTTAGTCGTACAATCTCAAGTGGTGCCAATCAAGCCGGGTTTCAATCCTAGCTAGTGGCAACCAGACTTTTAGCAACACTGAAGAGCTGTGATACAGCGAAACAGTCTGTCTGTGGATGACTATATATATATATATATATATATATATATATATATATATATATATATATATATATATCGGTTTCATTTCCCGATGAAACCGATATTGGTTTCATTCCCAAGCTCAGTAAGTTTTCTTCTTCTTCTTCAATGTGCCGTGTCTTCTTCTTCGCAATGCGCTGGCAGGCCATCTTACTCAAGAAAGACCACTTCTACTGCTGCTGCAATCCATGGGTGTCCCTTAAACCCTAATGTGTTACGGGAACCGTGATCGGGACCTTGAAGTCCAGATTCAACAGCTTCCTATCTTAATTATCCTCATAATCTATAAATGTTACTTCCTCCTCTTACGTCCATAAAACAACTTCATTCAGTAACCGTCTACCTTGAGTGACACTTGGGCCTTGTATTGGGCAAACAATAGCTTAAAAATACAATATATTGATCGGAAATAGCATATTCTTGAATAATGGCAGTGTGATTTTGAATACATTAAATGATTAAAAGATTGTTTTTCAGACTAAGCCTCACTTAATCACCATTAGGTGAATAGACGTCAGAAAAAGGTACATGTACTTACTGGCGAAGAACTTCTATTTAAAAGCATGGTATTAAACAGCATATCTTCGATTCTACCGAGTGTAACAGCAAAATTGCCCGAATCCTGTAACAGCATGGGATAATTGTCCATCCCACAAAATGTTTAATATCTAAAGAACAACTAAACTAATTGAGTTTTTTTTTCCAGTTTTCAGGTAAACGTTTAGCCATCTCGTAAGAATCACTGTAAAACCATTTGAGTTATTCAGCTAGAAAGAGAACTTAGTGGCATTATTGCCTTGCTTAGGGCGAATTGATTAAAAGAAATGTATGAGAAATTAGTTTTATATTTAATACGTTTGCTAATATTAATAAGTATTTACATCTGATTTGAGGAAAATATTTTACAAGTATTTTATTTTTCATAATCAAGATTCAGTTTATTCGTTCATAAGCGCAAGACAAATTACAGATTCGACTGCCATTTAAATTAAAATCTTTCTTTTGCGCGAAGTGGAATCGTTTTGTGTCGACCCCACTATGTCTTCCCAAGTGAGCAATGGTGAGAGAAAAAAGATCATTCAAGCCTTCACTAATCGTACCAATATTCATACGCTGTCTTTTCATCTTCAAAATCCATTCAAGAACAATCAATAGAATGGTGAATAAGTTTAAAAAAGAGGGAACAGTAGAAATGAAAACGGGATCTGTAGGTCACAACTGAAGAGGGGTCATCATTTCAACTTAGAGCTAAATACATTCTTTGTGTTCAAAGTAGACTACGGTAGGGTTATAAAAACTTTGGAGAATTTCAATAAGATATCTTTAATTATTTCTAAGATACAACGGTTCAAAGCTTAATCTAAGAATTGGATAATCTTGCTGTTACACCCGGTGTATAAAGAAAATATAAACATTTTAAACCGGTGACAAGTTTCTTCTGCTACTGTAATACGCAATCCCGTACTGAGTCTCATCTGGATTAGAGACAAGATGGACGCCACTAATTAATGAAAAGGAAATAAATATAAAAGTTAAATTGTGTCCGGCAGTACGACACCACTAAATAAACCTCTCTCTATCTATATATATATATTGTCATCCACAAACAGACTGTTTCGCTGTATCACAGCTCATCAGTGTGGCGAGACGTCCGGTTGCCTCTACATAGGACCGAAACCCGACTGAATTGGCGTCTGTGGGAGATTCTACCACTAAGCCGTTGGCGCACGGCAGGGAGGAAGGTGAATTTAAGCGTATTTATTTTTAGATAAACACACAGTGACTGAGAGAACTCAATTCAATTTACCGAAGAGTCTTGCATTATTAGCGGTAATAGTCACTGTTCACAAACTCACACTTCTTCCAGAGAGCTCAATCGAAATAAATTTTTCAGGAGCATATATATTGTCATCCACAGTCAGACTGTTTCGCTGTATCACAGCTCACCAGTGTGGCTAGACGTCCGGTTGCCTCTAGCTAGGATCGAAACCCGACTATATATATATATATATATATATATATATATATATATATATATATATATATATAGAGAGAGAGAGAGAGAGATAAATGATTAAATCCAACAATTAGTTAATATATTTCTGTTTATACGTTATTTTTATGGATACAATTATTTAAGTAATAACTAATGAACTCTTAAATTTTATTTACAATTCTTTTCCTCAATAGGAGTAAATAGGTTTGCCTATCATCCAGTTCACACTCCTTCCCGGTCTTTTGAAACGAAGTAGGAATTTATCTTTTGTTTCCAGTTTAGAATTGAATTTCTGCTTCCGTCTAAATTCTTTTTGATCCTCTTTCCCTCCCAACAGCCCCTTGTGTCTTAGTGGCATTATCGCCTTGCTTAGGGCGAATTGATTAAAAGAAATGTATGAGAAATTAGTTTTATATTTAATACGTTTGCTAATATTAATAAGTATTTACATCTGATTTGAGGAAAATATTTTACAAGTATTTTTTTTTTCATAATCAAGATTCAGTTTACTCGTTCATAAGCGCAAGACAAATTACAGATTCGACTGCCATTTAGATTAAAATCTTTCTTTTGCGCGAAGTGGAATTTCGAGACGAGCATCGTTCTTAAAGCGGAAGTCGAGGCGGATTGTCACCGGAAATGCTAGTCGTTCGTGAACTTGTGTTACAGTTCAAGTCACCAGAAATTCTTAATGCGCGCAAAGGACATCAATGATTCAAATGTCTTAAGCAAACGAATTACGTCTGAATTATGCAGAAATGATACCGGCCGGGTGGGGTTTGGGGTTGAAGGAGAGAAAACTTATTTCATGAAAGAGGCACATCATGGCCTCGTGTAAAGTGGGGCGTATCACAATAACATATCGAGTTTCATAACGACAATAATCAATAACAATTATGCAGGCGCAAGTTATTTGTACATTTGTCGGCTTCTGATATTTTTGTGAACCGACTGCATGAAGTAATTAGTTTCATATTTACTATATTTATTTCTATTAATTAGATTTGTACATTTGAGAATACCCGGTGCTGTAAGCTTGGATGTGCGGGTGGTGTAATGAATAACGGTTCGGAATTGCAAATCGGAGAGCCGAGTTCCAATTTCATTCGTGTTCGTTATAGTCACTTACGCACAAATACCCTTGAGAAAGATATAGATCCTTCTCTTCTCTCCCCAGATATGGGTTAAATAGTAATACGTATCAGTAAGGTCCTTATTATCTTCAAAAAGTTGTTTCGTTCTGGTTAAGACGTTAAACTACATCCGCGTCCTGGGTAAGACGTTAAACTACGCCCAGAAGCAAGGCCTCTGATCAGGAGGTTTTGAGGAGCGTGGAACCACCTCTTAATTGCTGGTGTTCCCAGGTCCACCCTGACCCGAGGTGGTAGCACCTGTTAGGGTCCAAGCTATGGGCAAATAGTTAACTATTACCAACAATACTTTTTTGAAAAAAATTATTACCAGCAATACAATTTTGAAGGAAATATATTACCAGAAACAGATTTTTGACAAAACAAAATATTACCTGCAATAAAAGTTTCGTCAGCATTAAATAACCCATTGAGGTTGATATGCTGTAGAACAAAATAAACCAAACCAGATCAAAACGTTCTTAAAATCTAAAAATATTTTCTGACTGTAAATAACCTTCAAAGGTTGATAAACTGTTAAAAAATAATAAAAATATAAGCCGAGGGAAATATTTTATAGTAATAAGAAATTCTCTCTAAATCTCGTGAGACTAAATGGTCTCGTTTATCCACACGAGATTGATATACAGTAAATACACAGTAAATACACTATAAATATACAATGTTCAAAAGGACATTTGCAACTTATTTTTAAAAACGTAAAAAGCAACACAATGAAAGAATAATTTCTCCGTATCATAAGTTATTTTCTCGAGTGCCTTTTGGAGAATTTTGTCACAAAGTTATCTAAACAGTTCTTTCGACTTAAATTCTTCTCAGGAAGGCTCATAATTAAGTGCATTGACAAGCACATTAAGTGCATTTTTAAGAGCTCTTTTTTTTTCCTTTCGATCACCTGATAAATATTTTACTTTCCTACGTACTTCAACCGCCCTGTCGATTGGGGCTTCAGAATACACTGACTGCACCTCTGCAGAGGGATACGACCCCCACACACACACACACATACACTAAATGAGGCGTCCTGGATAGGACGAAAACTACATCCAGCAGCAAGGCCTCTGACCAGGAGGTTTTGAGGATCGTGGAACCACCTCTTAACTACTGGTGTTCCAAACTGGGGTCAAAGCATTATGAAAGTGTAAAAAAATAAGTTTTAATACCAGCAATACATTTTTGAAAAAATTTATTACCAGCAATACTTTATTATCAACAATACATTTCTTAAAAGTATATTACCAACAATACATTTTCGAAAAAATATTAACAATATATATATATATATATATATATATATATATATATATATATATATATTATGATCCTTGTTTTTTAATAAGTTCAGAGTTGTATAGGGTTTTTCTTTATTCTGCTAGTACTTACGGCTGTACATTCGGTATAAGAGCTGCGACATTACTCCATTTATTGAACAATTTAGTTCATGCCACATTGACTGAAAAACTCCTACAACAAAAAATTCTCAAATTGCCATATTAGTAAAAAAACGCACTCTCTTAAATTTTAAAAAATTCAACCTTAGCGTTGCGACTGCACGCTCCAAAAGTTTTTATCCGTTAACAATAACACATTTCTAACAAAAACATATTTCGATTCGCATTTAATTTTTCGAGTCTGCTATTACCTGGGTCTACTAAAAACAAAAATAATTTCCATGCCTAAGGATGGCTGAATGTACAGCCGAAAGTACTAGCAGAATAAAAAAGACCTTATACAACTTACATTTTTGAAGAAAAAATATTACCAGTAATAAAAATCTTGTTGGCATTAAATAACCAATTGAGGTTGATATGCCGTAAAACAAACCAAAACAAATGAACTTTATGTCCTTGTACCAGACACAAAACTTAGTTGCTAGAAACTGCATGTCATGGTAATGGGCGCACAACTGCGTAAAATTTTAAAGGAAAAACACATTTATTTTACAATTTACAATTAGAAAAGATACAATTCAAGGGTTGCATAAAAATTTCCTTTGTGTGCCTATTTTGGCAGGATAACAATTTTGAGGTAACAAAAGGGATTACCCACAGAAACAAGAAAAATATGTTACAATTTGCTTGATAAAGGCATGGATTCAAAGATAAAAAAAAATTAAACCCTTTGAAAATAGAAAAAGGGGAAAAAAATTAGAATAACAAAATTGCACAAGGCAAAAATTTCAAAATATACCCACGTCCGTTCTTAACAGAAGACTCAAACGGGAAGTCTCAGCTCGAAAGGATTTCATGTTTTCAAGGTATTATTTTCTCGAGGGTCTTTTGAAGTATTTTTCCCATAAAGTTATCCAGAGGGTTCTTTCACCTTAAATTCTTCTCAGGAAAGCTCAGAAAGAAATTTCAGTTCTGGGGTAGAATCTGTGTATTTCCTCGTGTTGATTTATGACCTCTTTCGCTGAACTAATCTTTTGAAGCGTGGGTGCTAAATGCCTTCTTCCTCCTCCGTCAATTGCTTCCTTGTCAAAGGCTTATTCTTTTCTTCTCTTCTCATCTTTTCATCTAATAGCAGTCTTTTTTATTGAAAAGGCTGGGCCATGTCAGCACCGGCCAGAATTTCACAAGGTCCCAAAAAAACTTGTTTCTCATTGGCCAATATACATAAAACCCCTCTCCAACTATTTAAAAAAATGAATCCGCAACAAATCAAACAATTTTGACTGTATCAACCGCTTGAGCCTAAAAGGCCATAAAACTGCAACAATAATAAAACCAACACGTAACTTTGCAGGTGGATCCCAATTAGAGTTACTTTGAAATCGTGCAACTCAGTGAGCTCAAACGGTATCCGATTGAGAGCGTTCCCAAGTATTTAAATGTGACTCCCAATAAACAAGAACCGGCATACCGCACCCGGAACGTGGCTTGCCACACCCATCACTATCGCTCATGTCTACTGTTTGGTGTCTGTAAACGTTAAGCATGCATCAGTGTATGTCAGTGGGTGCAATTATTCAAGGAATTCAAGGACACGCCTCGACTTCGTATGCACTTTTATGTCAGATAAGGTTCTGACAGATTTCCATTCAGCTGTATGACAAAGCAAAAATAATTATGAGTTTTAACGGGAAGGTTTGAGCTCTACTGCCATACCACCAACATCTGTCTTATTGGTCAATATAATAAAGTAGGAGGTTTCGGAGCAACCCTTGTATTTACATGTAAAGTATAATTCTGTTTTGTTTTGTTTTTATTTCTAACTGTACGTCCATTTCAGAAATGGAATGATACCAACCTTGTGTGGGACCCAGAAGAATACGGAAATATCTCCAGCGTTCGAGTTCCACCAAGGAAGATTTGGAGACCTGATATATTGATGTACAACAGGTGAGTAAACGAATGTCATGAATAGTTTTCGGAGTTTCCACTTTCCTATGTTTTTTGTCTCTTCTTTAGTTCATAAAGTCTACCACACCATTGCGATTAACTATGGCTATACGGATATGTAGTTGGAAGTCATTTTTAAGACAATAAGTTGCAAGGGTTTCGAAAAGGTACAAAAGATTTTCTTTTGGAAACTCTTACTAATTTTTTGTTTATTAATTTACTTTCTATTTATGTTTGAAATTCAGGAGTATCCAGTATATTTTGAGTATCTAGAACCGGGTTCGTGGTCTTAATCAAAAAGTACTTTACTTCACATGCATGAACAGAAACTCTCCTTTGGAGTTAAATAGTCGAGTCTGATTGTGAGAAGATGTTGATGGGCTTGGATACAAGAGTGTCCCCCTCCCCGAAAAAAATGACATCATTTTGTAACGTAATAACATAGCCAATTCTCACTCAAATGATCCCAAATTTTAACAAAGCGTGTAAAAAGTTGACTGTGCGAATTTATCTCAATGAGAATATATCAGGAAGATAGATTGGGCGAAACAGTGATGATGCTAGTGTGCTGTTGAAATGGCCACCTGACAAGACATCTTGTGATTTTTTTTTTTATGAGGCTATGTAAAAGGAGAGGTATATACTCTACTCTTCCTACATTGTCCTGCAAGCAATTGCTGTAATAAAGTACTAAAGATTGAATTTGTTCGAAAAAACCTGCTTGCACTCTGCTATGAGCATTTAGTGGTTCATAATCTCTCATATATATATATATATATATATATATATATATATATATTGGATATACCTTTTGCAAACGTGAGATGGGGATTTGTTTTTTGTAATGTCTAATTTTTAACATAATATGCGTTGGTAAATTTTACAAGATTGAGTTATTTAATTTTACCCCCCCACACACACACACACATACACACAGAGAGAGATCTTTTATGTATATATATATATATATATATATATATATATATAGAGAGAGAGAGAGAGAGAGAGAATGTATGCTACATTTATGAGTCAATTGCTCAATTTATATATATATATATATATGAAGAAAAATATAGTGAAAAAACAAACAAAAATCCTAATATGCGATTATGCTGTTTTAATGTTTAATGTCAACGTCGGACGTTTCGGTCTAATAGACCATCTTCAGGACATATTTATAAAACATAATTAACATAGACCATATATAATTCAACATTAAATTTGACATTAAACATTAAAACAGCATAATCGCATATTAGGATTTTTGTTTGTTTTTTCACTATATTTTTGTTCATACTGTCGGATCTATATCCATATATTTGCTTACATATACATATATATATGTTGTCAGCAGCGTGGTCGTCATCTTCCTCAGTCTTCTTGTCAGTGTGTAACGGTGCATAGTACTCCTTTTAGTACTACCACTACAAAATAACCAACAGCACTAGTAGTGTGCACTAGTACTACTCCTTGTACTCCTAGTTCCCGCTCCTATTCAGTTAAGGGACAACTACACTTGAAGACCAAACCAGCTGCTGCTTGCTTTTCTACTAATATATATATATATATATATATATATGAAAAAGAATTTTCATAGGCAACTGGTGTTTTTAAGTATATTTATTTAGACTAACTAAATAGTCTATTGGTTTCACTGTTTCATAATTTTCAAAAGTTCAATTGAGATGCCGAGATGTGTGGCTATGCCATGATATATCGCGCATGTGATACCACACGTCTCGCATGTGGTAGCCACACGTCTTTCACATTTTCATGTTATTCTCAGTATCCAGTATTTCCATTACCTCATGTCTTCTCTTAATCTGCGAGAAGTTTTTACTGCCAATACAGGACGTTTTATGTTATATAACAGTTTGGAAAAATAGTCTAAGAATAGATATTGTTTCCAAAGTTTTCACAAAAATGAATTATTTCATTGCCTATTAAATGCATTTTGTTTTCTTTCCCACAGTGCTAACGAAGTTTTCGACGGTACCTTTCCGACAAATGTAGTTGTTTTCCATAACGGTGAATGCTTCTGGGTGCCTCCGGGCATGTTCAAAGCACATGTCAAATTGATATTGCTTGGTTTCCTTTTGATGACCAAAAGTGCAAATTAAAATTCGGCTCCTGGACACATGACGGTCGTTTTCTGGACCTTCAACTGGATAACCCCGATGGCGGAGATATATCTAGCTTCATTCGTAACGGTGAATGGAAATTAATTGGTTAGTATTCATATATATATATATATATATATATATATATATATATATATATATATATATATATATATATATCTTTCTTTTACATCTTTTTCTCGATCTTTTCTTCTTTCTCATTCTATCACCCTCTCATTTTCTTTCTATATCTTTTCTTTTCATTACCCTTTCTTTTCTTTTTTCTCTCACCCTCTCTTTCTCTTTTCATGTTTTCTCTTTCCCTTTCCATCTCTTTCTTTTCCTTTTTGCATCTCTTTTCACCACTGTTTTTTTCTTTTTTATCTCTTCCACTTTCCTTTTCATTTCGTCCTGGGTATGACGATAAACTACATTCAGCAGCAAGGCCTCTGACCTGGAGATTGGAGGTTTTGAGGAGCCATTGATTCTTTCTTTTTCCTTCCTCCACTCCTTCTTTTCAGTCTCTATCTTTTCTCTCTTCCTGTTTTCTTCTCTCTCACCTTCTCTCTCTCTCTCTCTCTCTCTCTCTCTCTCTCTCTCTCTCTTTAGTCCATCTCTCATTTCCTTGCGCTACACCCTCTTTCCTCTATTCAGGCACTAAATCGTGTTCCGTTGTTTTCTTCAAACTTTCTTTCCCTTTCTCGGATGTCTAAAATACATTAAAGATATACCGTCTATATATATCATCTATTGTGTGTGTATGTCACCACAAAATGTATCTTTTCCGGTATATCTTTAATGTATTTTAGACATCCGAGAATATTCATATTTCTCTCACTTAAACCGTCTTTGACTCCCCTCTTTAAAACTTCTCTCTGTTAAATTTGAATCCCCACTTCATCTTTAGACCTTCCTGTTCTCCTCTCGTCTGTTACCCCTCCCTATAGCTTTCATTTACTCTAACATTCGTCCCAAACTCTCATACACACACTCTCACTAAATTTTATTTTTTATTCCCGGATTTGTTTTTTCTGTTTTCTTTTTTAATTTATAGGTCTGATGAATTGGATCGTATTTACGATTTCAATGGAATAAATTATGACCATGGAATATTAGTGTTTAAGCCTTTTTATTATATCCTTACTCTGTCCTAGACATTGAGTTCTACCTGGATTCTATCCTTCTGTATTTATTTTTTATACAAATATATATGTATGTATGTATGTATGTATGTATATATATTTAGATATTTTAGATATATGATTGCATATGTATGTGTATATTTACCACTAATATTATATATATATATATATATATAGTTAAATTCCCAGATCAATTCTGTGGACAAGACAGATTGGTATAAAATGACAATTGGAAAAAATCTTAGATTTTGCCGACGCGTTTCGTCTTGATCTGGGAATTTAAATATATTGTCGACATGGAAAAAATCCCTTACTATACAGGTAATTTATATTAACCAGAAAAAAAGGCTTAGACAGAAGCGTCTATCTTTTTAAATTTGGATTTTTTAATGTAACTATAACAACAAAAACATTTCGATTCCATTTTTGCCTTGAAAAAATCGGAAGACGAAACACGTCGGCAAAATCTAAGATTCTATACTATATATATATATATATATATATATATATATATATATATATATATATATATTACTATAGAAGACGGTTTTAAAGTGTGTATAAAATATTCAGTATATTTTTAATCATTTCACTCCACGGAAAAACACTTAGATGCAAAAGGTTATTGAGTGTGAGACAATATGAGGAAAAGAAAACATTATTAAGGAAAGAGAGAACAAAAACAAAGAAAAAATTAAGAAGAGAGAAAATAACGATTGACATTGCACTTAAATTTTTAAAGATCAAAGTTGACTCGAAAGCAAGAAGCCGGAAGAGAGTCCCACAAACAAGAAGAAACTGTTAACATAGGACTTACGGATATATCTAGCCATTTCAGCTCTAAAATTGTGAGACCTTGCCGCCAATTTAGTACTGCTCTTGAATTCACAAAGTCTAAGTTCGAAAGAGGAAAGCTCTTCAGAACAATTACCATTAAAATATTTATAGAAAAGTCACAGAGAAGCTACATTACGGCGGTGAGGAGATGACTGAAGCCGAAATGCCAGGTCAGGACATAAAACATTGCAGATTCTTTATTGTGTTTTACCAAGAATCTCTAAAGGCATAACAGAAGCACCAGGCCAGATGTGACAGCAATATTCAATTTATGGCGCAATGGTAGGCATATAAATATGTAAGATAAATTCTGGCGTGAAAAATTGTCTAGCACAACATAATGAACCAATTTTCCTAGAAGCAAACATAGCAATTGATTCAATATGCTTATAAAATAATAATAATTATAATAATAATTTGAAGAAGTACACTGGAGGAGTATTAATGGCAGCACATGATTAGGTATTGCAGATAAACTTGGTAATGCTAAATGCTGATAATGTCAACACTTTAGCGTTCTGCAGAATGAGGAGAGAGGTGAGGGTCTTAGTCATATTCTCAGAATGTGCATAAGAAATGGCGGCATGTTACAGTTGCTGCCAATTTACGTTTAAAGTTGTGTAAATTATATGACTTTAAATATAGTTACAAGTATTATGACAGTGTGGTCATAAAGAAGAAGAAAGTGCTTGAGAATAGCAAAATGAAAATCCTGTGGGATCTTCCGATAAAGACAGTGACAAATTTAGAGCATAATAAATCAGATGTTGTCCTTCTAGACAAGCAGCAAAAAAGATTTGCTTCTAGATGGAATTTGTCATGAGGATTGAACGCAAAGAAAAGAAAAGAACGACAACGATAATGATTCCAAATATAGAATTTCTGAAAGTTTTGGACTAACAAAAAAAGTGGTTACAGTACCAATGATAATTGGAGCACTGGGATGTTGTACAAAAAATATGGGGAAAATTTTTCAGGTTGTGGATTATAATTTGGAAATAGTCATTACAAAATGTCTCCATGCTCGGAATGGCGAGGATACTGCGTAAATTACTGGCTACAACTTGTTGGTGAAAAGAAGAAATGATGATGATGATGATGATGATGATGATGATGATGATGAGGAAGAGGAGGAGGAGGAGGAGGAGGAGGATGAAGAAGAAGAAAAAGAAGAAAAAAACTTATAAAATATTTGGTCAAACTTGAACCTTTGTACCCGAAAAAAAAAGCGGAGTGTAAAAAAAAAAGTGTATGTTAGTGGTCAAGAATTAATGTACTCATCAATGAAAGAATATTGCTATTACTTATATAATATATAAAAATTTACTAGGCACAGTGGAGTAATGGATATCAGCTTGGATTGAGGAATCGGAAAGCCGAGTCCGAATTTCAGTCGAATCCATTACATTCACTTACGTGCTAATTCCCTTGGAAAAGGTATGAATCCTCTTCTTCTCTCCCCAGCTATGGATAAATAGCAAGACAGACTGGGTTCTATAGCCTTGGATGGCAACTGGACTATCACAGAAAGAAATGGAAACCTACTGTAGAAAAAATCTGCTTCGTCAGTCATGTATCGAAAAATACATGATCGCTTAAGCGTGTATCACGTATGGCACATAACTGATAACGTGGCCATATCTTCTGAACAATACTAATAGGCTTATCGTAGTCAAATATTACATCATCCTGGATATATTTTATAGTAAATAAATTCCCACCATTTTTTTTTATTTTTTTTTACAAAGCTACCCCAAAACGGTGACAAAAGCCACTTACCCTAAAATATCTAATACAAAGATTTAGATACCGTACTTTTGTTTAAGGTCATGCCTGACTACTCCTTTGCCCTAGGCCTGCATCGTACGTAGCCTAAATTTCCTCCCTTTTATCGTTACATGAAGAGCTAAACATCATCCACTATGTATGTCACGTAAAATCAACAAATAAATACCTTAAAATTACTGACGAATTAATAGATTTTTTCCTATCTCAAATTTACATTCATCTTTTCGCAAGTGTTTAAATCGCTGACGTATTGACGTTCCAATGACAACCTTTTATCAAAGATACTGTGAGAATGTAGACCTACCAGATAGGCCATGATCATTGAAAATGCATGTATCTTAAAACCTGAAAAAATTTACATGTGTATAGTGCAACAGGTCACCGAAAATACATGATTTTTAACCTCTTCAAAAAAAACCTCAGTCATGTGCCATGCGTAATACACGCTTAGGCGATCATGTATCTTTCGATACATAACTGACGAGGTAGATTTTTTCCCGCAGTAGGTTGCCATTTCTTTCTGCGGTAGACCAGTTGCCATCCAAGGCTATAGATTCTGGATTTAAATTATAAATGTTTTAAGCCAAATTTAAATTATAAATGTTTTAAGCCATTTCATATCTAAACGTATCAAAAACAAAGATTTTTTTGGTGCTTCATATTAGACGATCTTTTAAACTAAATACACAAAAATTGGTGCAAGTTACAAATCTACTTTTTGGTGTCAGTATTTATCATACCAATAGCCAACTTTCTTCGGGTGATAATTTTTGATATTCAAAAAAAAAAGTTGAAAATCAACCTACCCTACTATGGAACCCGGTCTATCCTGCTATTTACCCATTGCTAGAGGGTGAAGAGGAGGATTCATACCTTTCCCAAGGGTATTAGAACGTAGGTGAATGTAATGGATTCGACCGGAATTCGATCTCGGCTCTCCGATTCCTCAATGCAAGTCACTATACATTACTCCACCGTGCCTCCCATAAAAAAAATTATACGTTTTCTAGTCTAGCCGATTTCATTTATTTTCTTTTTATTTAAGTTTTTATCAATTTTGTTATTAAATATCCCACACTGTGATAATAGAAGATCTCCCAAGTAAGGTATATTGTTGTAAGCAAAATTGGATGTTAATTTATTGTCAGTTGATCCAGCAATTAAAGCACTTTCTATACATTTTCGTTTAATGTAATTGCTTTCTCTCTTAATTGGAGTGGCATTACTTAAATCAAAATTATTGTCAGACTCATTACGCCAAACAACTAATGCATTGAATGTGTTGTTTTGTAAAATATGACTTTTGTGTTCATATAATCTTTTACTTAAATTGCTTGAGGCCATGTATTCATTGTGACAATTATTAGAGATGATAGAACAAATTCATCTTTCAAGTTTTAGCTTATTTTGTTTTACATTAATTAAGTCTTTGATTGTTTTAGGAGACACGGTAGAGTAATGAATTGCGAATTGAAGAATCGGGGAGCCGTGTTCGAATTTCAGTTGAGTTCATTACATTCACTAACGTGCTAATACTCTAAGGAAAGGCAGGAATCCATTTCTTCTTCCCCAGGTATGGTTAACTAGCAGGACGGACTGGTTTCTATAGTCTTTGGTGGGAACCGGCCTAGGAGAAGGAAAACTCTGAATTCAAAACTGTAGGGAAGCACTGTAAAAGCACATACTATGCAGCTAAGGAAA